CTCAAGTAACTTATGTTTTTCCAACCTTACTTTTATTTTTATACACAGATTCCTGTACTTTACCTTTGCTATCCTTGACTTCTTAACCTTCGACAGCCTTTCGCCTTTGTCTGGATTCCCAGCCTATCTGTGTCGTTTCGAGATATTAGTGAGTAACCCTCAAAATGGTTGTCCCCAATGTGACATCTAACACAGATATCCTGAAACCGCGTGCCGCGTTCAAGCTAGCCACCTACAATGTTCGGACGCTGAATCAAATCAGATAACAGGCAGGGTTGGTCAGAACATAGGAAAGCCTCGCTATCGATGTCTGCTGCATTTCGCAGACCCGCATTCAAAATCCCAGTGAAGTGCTTCGACTATCCTCTCCATCTGGAAGTTCTAGTAATGTGTACCACCTGCGCTTATCCGGGGACCCTGTGGCGTCGACATCCGGCGTAGCTGGTGTCGGTGTCTCACTGAGCGCTAGGGTCGAAGCTGCATCGCTCGACTGGATTCCCATTGACAGTCGTTTATGTGCTGTGAGGCTGGAAGGTTATCCGAAAGTAAGGAGTAGTAGGCCAGATAGGTGGTGTCTATTTGTTGTCTCTGCCTATGCACTGACGGATTGCAGCCTGGATGCAATAAAGGATGAGTTCTATTACCAACTTAGCGATCTCTTGAAACAGGCGGGTCGGAAGGATATCATAGTGCTGGCTGGGGACTTGAATGAACAGGTCGGGCGTCTAAGCTCAGAAGAGGATCGTCTAGGTGGTCAACAGGGCCTACATGGTCGCAGGTCAGATAATGGGGACCGTCTTCTGCAGCTTTGCGCGGATCACAACCTATTTCTAGCCATCACCAGCTTCCGGCACAGCCATCGCCGTGGCGCTACCTTGCGTCCTCCGTCTGTGAGTCAAGCTTGGACTCAGATTGATCATACTGTTGTCAGTTTCCGGTGGCATGGATTCATACAAGACTGCCGCTCCTTCTGGAGCACATCCCTGGACTTCGATCATGCGTCAGCGTGCGCCAAGTTCGTCTTGCGATTTGGCGGGGTTCATAAAGGGCGTCGTCTAAACGTTGATGTGAGCAGACTAGTAGCACCTGCTACTTCTTTGAAATACTAGAATGTGTTACAATCAGTGCTTGCCAGCAACCCCCCAAGTAGTATAGATGAACATTGGCTTCATCTGCAGGACGTCATGCAAATGGCGAGTGTTGCGGCTTTAAAGAATGCTTCACTAAAAACCACTAGGTTTCTGTCTGTCTGTCTGTCTGTTTTCGACATAGAACTTTGCACAAATGTGCGGAAGTTCAAGTCGCCACATTCCGTGTAGCACGCGAAGCAAGAGAAGAAAGTACAAGAAAAGCAAATAGAAACAGTGAGCAGAGGTGTGAGACAAAGGAGTAATAAAGAAATACAAAACAGTTTCATTGGAGATCATAAGACTAGGTTTCTGCGAGTTCCGTGCAACTCCAGCCGGTCCATTCCGGCTGGCAGCGAATAAAACAATGAGCGAAAGGCGCTCACGTGCAAGATAAGACAGTGTTTACGTAAGGACCGCGAAGCCTCGTTGTCAGAACGTGCATGTAAGATGGAGTCAGCTGCGGCATCTGGCAACAATCGGAAACTGTTCCAACTCATTCGAGTTACCAGAACCACGAAACAAGGTGTCAGCGAGACGGTGTGTGAGGCAGATGGCACGTCAGTTGCTAGCTTGAAAAGATGCCTGGAACGCTGGGCAGAGCACATCGGGAAACAGTTTAGCTGGCCACCAGCTTCAGTGTCTGCTGTCATTAGCCCCAGTGCTCCTTGGTCGGTTAGTACCGACCTACCCTACGAAGCAGAGGTCCGTAAGGAACTCCAAGTGTTGAAACGCCATAAGGTGCCTGGCCCAGAAAATCTACCTCCGGCTCTTTCTAAAGATGGTGGCGAGACTCACAATTTTTTATTTCTATCTTATTTTTTAATTTTTGATTACAGCTTGATTCCACACTGTATTTTTTGGTACAGGTATGGAATTTTCGGCAAGGATATCGGTAGCCTAAATTTTGCAGACCAACCATAGATATCAGGTGTGCGTCGGCAGGGGATCGAACCTCGGGCCATGTGCATGGTCGGCGAGAGTCCTAACCAGTGTGTCACCGACGCACTTACTGGGTTGTTCAGGAAGGTATGGGAGACTGAGAGTGTACCATCAATGTGGAACGAAGCCATTATCGTCCCCATTTTTAAAAAGGGTCGACGTAATCCATGTGACAATCATAGGGGTATCAGTTTGCTACTAGTCGCGTCTAAAATATTGGCTGCTTTCTTGCTTCGCAGGCTGTGCAAAGTACGTGAGGGATTGATTCGCGAAGAGCAGGCTGGGTTTTGTTCAGGTCGTGGATACATTGATCATGTGTTCACCCTTCGCCAGTTGTTGGAACACCGCCACACGTATTGCAGGCCAACGATCGTTGTGTTTCTTGATGCTAGGGCTGCCTTCGATTCGTTGGACAGAACTGTGCTCTGGAACTGTCTGTTAGGGGTGTACCTGAGGAATGTGTTAACATCGTGAAAGCCCTATACAGAAACACGTTAGGTAGAGTGAGTGTATACAACCAACTATCATCACTGTTCCCAACCAACAGTGGGGTTAGACAGGTTTGCCCAATCTCTTCATTTCTCTTCAACTTTGCCATCGATGACATTCTGGAGTCAGCTCTGAAGGATGTGCGTGAAGGCGGTGTAGATCTGCTACCTGGAGATAGACTTTTCGACCTCGAGTATGCAGACGATAACGTCTTACTGTGCGATAGCATGCAGGCTGCCCAAATCGCACTTAATCAGTTGGCGATCAGTGTCTGTAAGTATGGTATGTACTTTGCGCCGTCTAAGTGCAAAGTACTGTTACAAGATCGGCAGGAGCCTGTACCTGCACTGACTTTGTCGGTGAGTGCTGGCGGAGGAGTGACGGATGAGATTTCCAACCATATAATGAAGGCTAGGGTGGCATACATCAACTTGAGCCACCTATGGCGCCGTCGCAACGTTAGCCTGGCTGACAAAGGTCGGGTATACAATGCTTCGGTGCGGGCTGTCTTGCTCTACGCCTGTGGAACCTGGCCTATCCGAGCTGAGGATGTGCGGCGACTCTGCGTGTTCGATCATCGCTGTCTCCGCAGGATTGCTTGCGTTCGATGGCATCATCGCGTGAGTAATTCTGAGGTTCGGCGGCGTGTGTTTGAACACAATGGAGACCACCATTCATTGAGTGCCATCATCTGGAAACACCGGCTCCGGTGGCTTGGACGTGTGCTGCAAATGTCATCCCAGAGGCTTCCGTACAGGTTTCTGTTCGCTAGCCCTGGGACGGGATGGAAAAGGCGGAGAGGTGGTCAGTCCATGACGTGGCGTCGTGGGATGAAGGATATTTGTGCTAGATTAGCATCGGTTGGTGTGTCACAACTCCCTGGTTGGGGTCCGAGAGATAGCTCAAATCGATGGCTCGGAACGTTATCGGATATGGCCAAGAATCGTAATCAGTGGCGAACGTGTTGCAATTTCCTTCTTTCTTCCCTTCCCGACGATAGTTAACGAATACTGTTTGAACTTGTTAAGCATGACTGTTTTCCTTCCAGGTCAAGTTCTTTATCCGTTCTATACCTATATTTCTTTTGCTTTTGATCTATGTTGTTTTATCATTATTGTGTGGCGTATCTTTCTTGGTGCCATATTGTACCAAGTTTTTTCTGCGTTTAAATGAAATAAATAATCTTGATAGAACGGGATCTCAGTTTTGCTCTATTAACTGCCACTTTTGCAAGTTCCTCCAGAAGCTTTGACTATTTTTAAGCCACAAGAGTAGTCCTTATCTCATCAGTCTTATCGATTAAGTATTGAAAAATGAAGTAAAATTTGGCTAAGCGTTGTAATTTTGAGTGAATGAAGGTCAGAGCTAAATATAATGTTAGTCACCTGCTCACATGAGTTGATTACAGAAATTTAATCTCGTAATAAAACCAGCAAAAAAACAACAACTCATCTTTAGAGAATCTATATACAGATGACACATTTTTGATTAAGAAAACCTAAAATGAAGCAACTATCGTCTTTAGCAAGTTTGATTGTGTGCAACCACTAATAAACTTTACAATCGAGAAACAAACGAGTGATAGTATTTCATTCCTAGACGTCTTTTCGACTAAGTAAGTGGATAGTACATCAGGAAGACTTGTGTATAGAAAGTCTGCAGTGAAATGTCAGAATACTCTTTTGTTAGTTTTTGCACCTCTGAAATATAAACGCTACTCAGTAAAGTATTTGATTCATATAGCTAAGATAATCTGCTCCAGCTTATGTAAACTAGAAGAAGATGAAGAAGCACTTAGCCATATAATCGACACCTGGTTGAATGTAAATTTAGCATATGAGGAGATATTTTAGCTAACCTTGTTAACAACACCGTAGAATATCCAACAACTCTAAGAAGTTTAGCTGGTCAGACAATCTTTAAAGTTATTCGATATTAACGAGAGATTTATTTAAAACTAAAATCAACTGAGGAGCTGTTCAGTCCTAACTTAGAACTATTAGTTGAGCTTGGCTGTGAACTTAGTATCATTTAGCCATGAGGTAGGAACAAATAATCCTGCTTCTCAACTTTTGCACTTCATCAGCATAATCAGATCGCTGTTTTTCCCTATGCTTGGTGATTTGACTGTTTTAAACATTTCATCTGTGTTTATATTTGACAATTCTTTTTACTGATGTAAATGCTGATTAGAATGAAAAAAGAAATAACCACTAAAATCAGCAGCCTTTTGTATTGATTATAAACATCTAAAATAGATGAATAGTGTTGTCAGCGTTTGGCTTGAACATGTTTTTTTTTTGGCTTGACATCACCAGTATATATTATCTATACATAATGAAAATAATAAATTGTCTTTAATTAAAAAATAGTACTCGAGAAATTGTTTATCATTTGATAAACTGCCATATTCAGGATGCCATTCTGAAGTGGTTAGTAATCTTAGTTGGGAATAGATTGTCCAACTGATATAACATCACCTTCCCCAGATGAGTGTTTTTTCCCGTCGACTGTCTTCACACTCATGCCGTCTTCATATGGATTACTTAGTTGATGGTGTATACACGTGTCGGGAGAAATTCTGTTTTTATATGTTACCTTAAAAAACAGTGATAATAATAATAATGTGTTATGTGCTAGCAGTTGTATTATATTCATAAAATAAGATTGAGGAAATAAGCGAAAAAGAATTCCTGTTTAACAGTTCAGTTTATCTGAGGTAACCTTATGCGCTATCAACTTCTCCATCCACCCTGTTATATTAGATTTTAAAACTATCATCTTATCCTGAATAAAGGCGTTTCTAGACGAGTCTAAATGGTTTAAATTGATGATAAAAGCTAATAATCCCAGCTGGATATATGATTTTAAAGTTCACAAGTCAGAATATCTTACTGCGTCTATAATTGACTTTAGAAATTCTCCTGATTGTTTAAATATTTACCTATGGTATTAAATCCGCTCAGAAGCCACTCAAATGTAGACTGACGAATTCTTATGAATTAAGACATAGATTAGATAATTTAAGATTAGATGATGAAGAAAAAAATGATTAGTTTCGACACCGTTAGTTTGTATACATGATTGCCGATAAATATGGCAGTAGAAACGACCAATAACTTGAACCCAGAACAAAAGTGTTGCTAGAAGACAGAGTGCTAGGTGTGCAGCTGTGCCTGACTTCTACAGTATCGAAATTCCAAGGGAAAATATAAAAACGGACGTAGGGAGTTCCTATGGGGTCTCCAATATCCCCGATAGTTACAAATAAATTCGTGGATAGGTGGGAAAAATTTGCCATTGAAACGTTCAGCCTCACTCCCTCCCAAAGTGTGGTGGAGGTATGTGGGTCACAAATGCCATGTACTAAAAACATAAAAAAATTAAGCTTTTAAACACTTCCGTCCAAAGGTAGAGACAGTTCAATTCACTTGTGAACTTGAAAGTTAGAAAGGGGAGAATAGACTATAGCACAAAAGATAGGGAGTTAAACACTACAGTTTACAGGACAGCTACATTTCGATTTCGGTTCATTCCCCCCCCCTCCCTCTATGTAAATAAAAATAGGATCGATGAAATATTTAAGTATAAGGGTAAGAGTTTTCGTATATAATAGTATAAGACAATTCATCAGTGTGGAAGAAATGCCAGGAGTTATGATATATAGGGCTGAATAGATAGGTTAATCAAAAGCCAGTCATATTACATCAAGAAATCATCAAATATTATGAATTAAAAGACAATCTGAACGAAGAATATTCTTTTCAATAATTTCTCTTCAGGTTCTTACAATAATAAAATATAATATTTGTTGTCGTTACAATAAATAAAAAAACTCAAATGAAATCAAAACAAGAGGATTCAAGAACCCTATCCAGCATGGTAGCAAAAACGCAATAGTGGTGCAATAAGGAGTGCGATAGCTGAACACCTGGTTGACACTGATCATTCCATTTCAACAAACGCCTCCTTCAAAGTAATCTACAGAGTCAAGAATAACCTGTCAAAGGCAATACATTTTCGTCTTTTTTATATCGCTGAAGCTCTGTGCGTTCACATAGAAAAACCGGAGCTGTGCGTACAAAAGAGAATTACTCAACCACTTCTACTGTCATGGAAACGACTATTTTTGTTTTGATTTTATTTGAGTTTTTTTTATTTTGGTAACTTAATTTTGTTTCTTTGCCTGTTCTTTAATTGCTTAGAATTCTTGTATTCATTCAGAACTCTTACGTAATTTCGTATTATCTACTTTGTTTATATGTGCATCCTGAGTAAAATTGACTCATCAAACTATTCATATTATTATTACATAACTTCTTTTAACAAGTGTTTGTGACAACTCATCTCCTTTGCTACTACCGTAATTTCATTAACACCTAATTTTCTTGACTTGTATTACCAATCTTCATCTATTTAGTTAAAATATCCATAGCCAATTGTAATTTTGTTTGACAAACTTAATGTACACATACATTCAAAATAACATATATTTGCGATTGTACAGCTAAGAAAATGAATTCGCCGAAAAGAGTCTCTTCGCTGATCTACGTGTTTTGTTTTCATAATAGATTTGCAGAGTATGGGGTAGGAAAATTGACAAGTCAGTTCAAGGTTATAAAAGGTGTAAGGCGAGTGGCTAGTACAACGTGGTCTGCGTTAAACAGAAGATAGTAAGACTGCAATGACAGCTTCATAATCAAATAACAAATATGTGGAATGAAACAGGTAGAAGTGGTTCATATGGATTTAGTAGATTATTATTAGTGATATCTCTTTTTTCAATATATGCTTCCACCTGTTTTATTTCACATATTCGTTATTTGATTATGAAGCTGTCATTGCAGTCTTACTATCTCCTGTTTAACACAGACCACCTTGTACTAGCCACTCACCTTACACCTTTTATAACCTTGAACTGTCTTGTCAATCTATTATGATTAATCACCACCATTGTCTCCCGTTTCACAATATTTTGGTAATCGATTTCAGCCTACCACGTTTGTCACACAAATACGACTATTTATTTCGACACCCCATAACTAATCTGTTATTCTACGTAAAAAGGCACATAACTGGCCTTTATTGTAACGATAACAAATATTATATTTTATAATTGTAAGAACCTGAAGAGAAATTATTGAAAAGAATATTCTTCGTTCAGATTGTCTTTTAATTCATAATATTTAATGATTTCTTGATGTAATGACTGGCTTTTGATTAACCTATCTATTCAGCCCTATATATCATAAGGGTAAGAGACTTAATGGTTTTTAGGAAAATCGAAGACAAGAAGTGAGGAACATAAGAGAAGTTTTAAAACTTAACAGTTATCCTGATAAATTAATCAGGAAGTATGTAGGGAAATGTAAAGATAAAACTGATAATAATGAAAGAAATATTAATAATAATAATGATGACGTGCATGACAGACATGGACAGATTGATGACAACATCAACAATCAGGAAACAAAGTCATCAGTAGTACTTCCTAGCAAAAAAGAAAACTTGTAGACCTTACGTGAAATTCTTATCAATGCAGGGATAAAAGTGGCATTCTGTGGAGCCCACTAAATAGACGAATTTAGGTGAATCTGATACCCTGAAATGATTGTCAGGTCAAATATATAGATGAAGGTAGCAAGGCACAAAAACCTAGCAAAATCTAGATTGGTTGACCATAACAAGCTAAGAAATCTAGAAAATAGCTCATCTATAGTACTACATGCAAAAACACACAATTATAAAATAGGATGGGATAAAATCCAATATAATAGAGTGGGGGGGGGGACAGGTTGGTAGTGGAAGCTGGGATTTAACACCTGCCCTGGACATCTGACAAATTCTACTCCCCCTACAACGAATAGGAAGCGATGAAGAGAATTATAAAATGGAAATTTCGAAGTTTAGTTGTAATTGGCATGATTGTGAACAATGAGTTGTGTTAGATACATCATCGAGTAAATAAGGCTTAATAACTCGTTTTACCCTTTCCATTAGGCTATTCTACTACTAAATATTAATGATCTATACCTCGACGCCCCAAAAACTATTTTAAATTGTCTGCATTTGACTATACGCAACTAAGTGAAATGCCCTTATGTTATCCTATTGAATTTGTTGATCAGGCTTTGCTCAAGCTGAAAACTGAAAGTCGTAAATGATCGAGATTAATGAACATAAATTGTAATTTAACACAAAATATCTCACCTCGTCACTCGCTGTTTGTGATGGGAAACAACTAGGTAAGTGTCTGTAGACTGCGCGAGCTTGCCAAGCTAATAATCTAGGATTAACTGGAGATCGACTGTTAAAACCTAGATAAGAAGTACATTAAAAAAAAATAATTTTTGTTCCATTTGAATGAGTTAAGATAATATTGTTATGAATAACAATAATAATAATATTCGATATACCTTCAACTAGTCATACAAAAGCTGTTATTTCTTTCACATGGTCTCATTGTCATTATCTAATAACTTTGTGCGTTCATTTAGAAATCCACACACAGTTTGATACAAGATTTCGTGTTCTTTTAGCTGAACATATAACGGAAACTTTGGAATTGTTCATCTACTTGTTGGGAATAATTCCCCATATGCTAAGCGAATAAATCGTCGTACTGCTCGACGATCAGGTGGAATAACTGATAGCCTAATTGATAGTAGCTATCCAGCTGTTATATTTGACCATGGAGATTGCAGTGTCATCATTTGTATCTACAACAAGTGATTTATTGTGATATACATCCAAGCCAAATATCCTCCTGAAAACACGACAGTATATACTGATTTGACAATAGTGTATCAGTCTATTTCGGAGGAATAACCTTGTCTTTCAGAAAAGCGAACAAGTGTATTGTTCTTGAGTTGATATTTCTAGCACAACCATTCTATTTAAACAGAGGGAAGCTAATAAGTAGATAAAAGTGTAACAACATAAGGCAAGGTATGGAGGCCAAAGTGTATTTTTTGTTGATCAAACCGCTGTTTATATGTGTACAGTTTATATTTGTTAACCAATCACTGAGCATGTGATTTCGGTTTGCATCAAACGACATGAAATAGAATGTTCAAATATACAAAGTATTCTGTTACCAATGCAGTAATGAACTGTGGGAATATGTCAGAACAGTATTCCGTTGGCGCACATTGTCTGTAACACACCACCACAAAAGGGTTATCACACTCAACAGTTCCACTTGGTCTCTTTAATCTACAATAGTTGGTCTGCTGATTCCGACTTCTAGTGAATTGTTGTATAGTTCTGAATTCTAGCAGTTTATGCGCTGATTATGATCAAGCTGATCCTTCCTATCTTAATAACTAGGATAGTAATTTTCTTTATTCTTGAAGAGTAGTGCAGTCACTGATTGATGTTATTTGAAAGCAATCGTTTTCGAATTACACAATTCTGTTGTTAATGTGTTTAGAGAAGCTCATAATCTTTAACAATTTCAATTAAGTGTTTGTAATGTTTTCTCGTTAAGCTTTACAGACATTTCTGTTTCTCACCCCACTCAAAAACGCTCCAGGCTTATTGTTCTTGTTCCAACAAAATCACAATTACAGAGCGGAAATAAAGATTTAATGAAAGGCAAATACAATAGCTGCCCAAATGTCTTGATTCACCCTTCTCAACAAATATTGAACTGAATCCACTTTTCGTGTTTTTCTTCAAAAAATCGCCTGATATTACCTATTGCGTTTTTCTCAGCCTTCACGTATTTTGATCATAGACACAGAATAGTGTATGGAAATTCGTTTTAAAAGGGATGAAGCCACATCGTAATTCAGGCGAAAATATACTTTTATTTAGTCAAACTTTCAACTGTCAAAGCGAACGGATATGGAAATCATAAAAGTGGTTGACATCTAAGCAGTCAAGGATAGAAGACAGTAGATGCTTAGAAATTTAAGATGTAGAAAAATGCTACACTGTTCAAGTGACTGATGCGACGAGAAACCCTACTATTTTTCATCGAATTTTTCGATATACACGAATTAGTCACACTATAGTACATAGATCTAATTTTTGGCACGTCATTTTTGCATGCCTGGATGGATTCTCTCATACCACTTATTGATGTATTACCTTATTTTCTCTCACCCTACCTTCGACCTCTGGAGTCCTGTTGGTTGTCCACTGTCCTTATTTATAAATGACATCAGTGCTTCTCAAGGTCACTTTGGGCGCAAGTGCTGTAAACCGTTTTTGACTGTTGTTTCCAGACCGTAAAAGCTCTCTTATCAACGTCCAGTCTTTTCTCCTGTCTTTGATTGAGGGCAGTGTCATTGTTATTATTATTAGGACAGATTAGCCAGCGCATTTAGTTTTCGCTCAAAGTCTACCAGGTCGTAGTTCCAGTCATAACACACTATAGTAACCAAAAGAATCATCAAATCTTGCAGTGTTCACAAGAGTCAGGTGACAGAGTGTAGATGCATGATTCACCGCGAGGTATTTTATGCCAATCCTCTGGAAATGTTTCTGTATATTGTGCTAGCCATAGAATATGCCTGAATGATGTTCAGTGTAAATTGTTGAATACTTTCTGTTTTAATTATTTTCTCAATGCTTGATGATGGGATGTATATGACCATATATGGAAGGCTTATTATTATATTTTCCTTTTATTCCTAGAGGAACATAGGGCTTCAGCCACACGTCTCCATTGCGTTCGGTTCTCAGCCGACGTTTTCCCATGGTTCTACATCTGCCCACATGTTTCCATCTCCTCTTTACATGGACTCCTCCGTGGCACCATCGCACCGACGACCAACTCGCCTCATCTTGCTCGGATTCCACTCGAGAGCCTGTCGTGAGATGCTACTTGATGGTTTCCTCAGAGTATGGCCAATCCACCTCCGTTCCTTCTTGCATATTTATCGCACAATTGGTTCCTGGTTGGCTCGTTCCCAGACATTCCTGTTGCCGATATTTTCTGGCCGGCCATCTGATCTTGACTAGTATTGAGCGAAGACAGCTGTTGATGAAGGTTTGTTTGAAGTGCCCTTCGTGACGCGCCATGTCTCTGGTCCCTATAGTAGCACTGACTTCACATTGGAGTCGAAAATCAGCATCTTAGTTTTTATGCTCAGTGCTGTTGATCTCCACACAGACTTGCGAGTAATGAAAGCTTGTCTTGCTTTCCCGATTCTCGCTTTGATATCCTCGTCAGTTCCGTTCGGGTTTAGTTGAAAGGATGCTTCCCAGGTAGGTAGACAGGTGAAGGAGGTTGTTTCTTTCAGGTTCCTCCTATTTATGCTGATTGTTGTCTGTTGCTGTTGTTGTCGCTGCTGTTGGCCAGGAATCCTCATCACCTCTGTTTTCCCTATGTCCACCTGTTCTCTGAATGCTTCTTCTGCCAACTTGTCGCTTTTCAATTGCATATCCTTCATTTTGTGGAAAATCAGACAAATACCATTGGCGAAGTCCATATCCTCCAAACTTTTTGTGTGGGTCCATCTTATACCTGTCTCTTAATTTCCTGGCCCGCTGTCTGTCGCATTTTCCAGTCTACCGCATTCACGAAAATCATTGGAGATAGTAGGCAGCCAGCCAGACTTGTCTTACTCCCGTCTTCACTTCGAAGGATTCCGTGAGTTTACCGTTGTTGGCTACCCGGGATGCAGCATTGTCGCACAACTTTTGGATGATGTGTATGATTGTTGGTAGCACCCTGTTGTAACGAAGTAGTTTTCAATTCACCTCTCGATCTATGCTGTCGAAGGCCTTTTCAAAGTCGATGAAGTTGAGGTAGAGAACTGACTACCATTCCAAGCTCTGTTCAATGATGATTCGTAGTGTTGCTATTTGGACAATGCATTATTTGTTCCTCCTGAGTCCATCCTGTTCCGATCAAAGCTTTTCATCCAGGACATGTTTGGTACTCTCCAAGATGATGCGGCTTAGTATTCTGCTTGGGATGGACAGGAGAATAATGCCGCGCCAGTTCTTGCATCGACTTAAGTCTCCTTTCTTTGGCACTTTGAATAAGTAGCTCTTCTTCCAATCCGCACGTACTTTGCCCTCTTTCCAGATCTTCTGCAGTAATGGCATCATCAAGTCCGCTGTTGTCTCTGGGTCCATTTTGAATGCTTCTGCTGGGATTCCATCTGATCCTGCTGCTTTTCCAGTCTTTAGTATCTTCATTGCCTTCAGGACTTCTGTTCTCGTCGGAGGGTTGATGTCCATTGGTGGTTCTGCTTTCTTTGTTAGTATTATTGGGTGCGTTGTAAATGGTGGTCGATTTAGAAGTCTTTTGAAGTGTTCGGTCCAGTGTCTCCTTTGCTCCACTCCTTTGGTGATTGACTTTCCATTTGTCATCCTTCAATGCCTTAATTTGTGTCAAACTTTTTCCCAATAGGTACCTAGTTGTTTGGTAGAGTGTTGAGAGGTCTCCTTTGCCTGCAGCTTGTTCTGCTTCACTTCCCATGGCTTCATAATATTTTCTTTTGTCTTCCCTGGCACTCTTCTTTACTCTTTTGTTCAGTGTATTGTGATCTGCATTCAGCTCCTGTTTTTGTTACTCATCGATGCACTGAAAAATCTTTTGTTTCACGATCCTTCTTTCCTCTATTAGTCTACATGTGCCTATGGAAAGTTCAGAGGACAAATAATTTCCATTAAAGTCTGAGCAAGGACAGAAAGGAGGATCTGTAACTGCATATTTGAGAGTATCCAAATAAAAGTCCATCTAAAAGGTGCAAAATTCTCCAACATTGCGATCGCTCATCACTTGGTAGATAGTGGCCATAGAATTGATGTTTTAACATCACTTAAAATATCTGAAGCGCAAGCTAGTTCTAGTACTACTATTACGTACCACTGAAGCGATATTCATTAAAGTGTTAATTAGAAGATATCAATGGTCTTTACTTTCGTGCTCAATAACAAAAATACATGAATACATTTTATACTGATATAAAAATTGTTTTCAGTTTCATATAGATGACAAAATCAAAGTAATAAAATGATATCACATTATCTTACTGATGTTCTTATATTTTTCCAAAAGTGATATATTTGTCCTAATAAGAGGTAAATTCTTTTTACCCTTTTACCCGTAGAGGATCTTCATGTTCACATTATGTGCACTTCATTGTTATCTTCATTACATTAGTGATGAAGAAGTTAGACTACATCGATATAACTTTACAGCTCTTGATACGAATATTAAGAAGCATCAAAAAAGTAATTTAACTGTACTCTACTTGGCTTCAGAGAAGCAACCATGGGTCACAGATTCAAACTTAACTTTTTTAACGATTAGCTATTAACAATATAAAAAGCTACTTTTGGAGTTTGTTTTATGGTGTTGTGATTATTGTATTAAAGAGTAACTGATAGCAACATCAAAGAATAGATACCGAAGTCAAACGACTCAGAACCAACAAATCAAATCACTCAGCACTACAAATGGATGCTTTCCTTAATCTTCGTTGCAAGTTTCATCCTGACTCAGCGTTAAGGTTAGGGTAGGTTAAAGATAAGTTTATTGTTCAGGTTAGAGTACATTTTGCAACAAAGATTATGCAAAGCATCTATTTGTAATGCTTAGCGATCTCATCGGTCGGCTCAAGGTCGTTTGAATTTGGTGTCATTTCTTTACTGTTGTCTAACTGGTTTCATATTTACTTTGGAATCAAGAATTTTCGTTAATGTCTATAAAAAAATAAATTGATAAATCTTACCTGAAAATGCACTGACCAGAAAACCTAAAGAGATCCCCACAATAAGACATGCCAGCGAATAGTATAGGTATGACAGGGAATAAAATGACCATTTTGCACCTGCTGCATTTACACTGGATGATGCATTTTGTAGAATGTTGGAAGAGCAATTGGAAACTGATAATGGTAAATAACTTATATTGTCTGATGAATAACTGAAAGTAGCTCCTATTGACAACCATAGGCCGCATACAAAACTGCTGATTAATGCACAGATTCCACCCTGGATCAACAAAAACATGAATGGTGTCGTACAAGTTAATGCTTTGCTAAAGGCATACTTCGTGTATGAAACTCTGCAAGAGGAAAAAAATTTTAACTAGATTATACTCAGCTAAATGATAATAACTAGAACTGAAGGCAGATTTACTTTCCACATGAAAAAATATCTATCGAAGCAGACATTATTTAAATTATTAGGGCATTTATTCATATTGCTATTTTTGACATGGACCTGAAATATGCAACTAAATTTGCTCATATAATCTATACTACTAAATGATTGATATGAGTAGCTGGACGCCAATCACATTAACCATTAGCACCTACTAACCAGATCGAAGCAATCTGAACGCCGGACGATTGTTTTATTCATATGAGGCTGAGTTCATCAATGATGAACCTGGTTTAACTCAGCTCAGAGAGCTGCATCACTTAAAATCACACGAAGTCTGGGTAGGCACCTGGGTGAACTGGTGTTTAGATCACTTCGAACTGATAAGAAAGTAGTATACCGCATGAAATTAGTTGTGTGCAACTGCCCATACTAATAAGTCAGCAACATACACATATATGCATTTATGCCTGCCTTTGCGACCACCATTTCTATTATCAAGAAGGTGACATACGATTTCTGAATTGGTGGCATTTCACCTCGAACTGAAAAGATTGCAAATTAGGAATTTGAATCGAATTTGTGTTTATTCGAATGAACTGCATTACTCACAGTGTAAAACAACACAAAATTAATCCTCTCAGCAGTTAGTTACCTTTGTTTAAAGAGGTACTCATCTGATTAGATTGACAAAATGTTTGGAGAAGTGAATGAATCTTATCTGTCTTTCCTTCCAAGGCAATTCCTCTGGCATGTATGTGTGAATTTGTAAGCATAATTAGATTTGATTTCTGGTGAGTACTTATCCAGTTCCGACTAGTACCACAAACAAACAAGTTAAGCTGACGGATAAGTTATGGCAAGACCAACTCCTAGTGTTTTTTTACCCATTGTGACACATCATCTCCTCTGAAGGTTAGTTGGATAAATAAAGTCTTAGCCTCGAGCGTAACAACGTTCTTTTGATTAGGCGAATTTCATCTGCATATTAAAACAAGACACTCTTATGTGGACAATCACTTTTCATAGAAGTCTAATTTTTTATGCAAGCTATCTTCAAAGAAAAGTTTCCGCGATCCTTCAGACAGCGACTGGACAGAAAATAAAATGATTTAGGTACTGTCCAACACAGGTATCTTAGGCGGTCATCGCCAACACTGTTTACAGATTCCCATGTACACTCCAGAAGTACCTTAGGAGGACAGGAAAGTGGCGATCTATTTGCTTCTGTAAACACATTCCAAAAAGTTATAATCATTTTGCTAGCATACAACACTATCTTGTTAATATTATAAAATGGCTTGAATTCCCACAAAAGACAATTTAACTGATAAGATAAACTAGAACTAAGTTACTTCAATTGTTTGTCCTCAAAATGAACTATAAAACACAATGCGCAGATGCAGGATTTATTTTCTAGTTATATTAAGCATTAACAATAATTTGATAAGTATGACATTTACAATTGGCTGATTGGAACAGATGAAAAAAGAGGCATCGTTGTTAGTTCCTCAGTTGGTACAACTGTCATCATGACACAGGAGGAGACGATTTTAAGTCTCATGTAGGAAGTGACTTCACTGAATATTTTGCCGGGGTCTATTGCATCAGTGTTTCTCAAAATACTAAACGCCATGCCGTAAAGTGAAGTTTCAACTCCACTAGGATTTTCCGACATACATTGTTTCAAGAGCACCAGACACTCAATATAATATGTTGCGTAACGTTAAAAATTTCTTAATACAACTGACTGTCAACAGTTTCACTGTTCCATTTGCCTGACAGACAAATCATCATTGGTATACGGCACTAAGCTTCTGTCTATATAAGGCGCATTTCTCAGCGGTTACTGACACGTGGTGTCGAAATACAAGATAACAGAATCCTGTTGTATATTTCTTATTAATTACAGCTGAATTTCAACCTATGAAATATTTATTACAAGTTGACTAAGTGAAGCAATATATTACAAAGGCGTATCAGAAACTGTAACAGAGAAGATCTGTAGCTCAAGTGGATGATTTCGATTTGGTTGTGTTCTCTGAACTGGTTGATTTATTCGCGAAGCTTTCGTTTTATATACTAAAACCTGAGCTGAGAATGTTGTCCACGAGGACAACGGGAGCTTTACAATCAAATCAACCAGTTTCAAGAACAAAACTAAATGATAAATACCGTAAATTGTGCCGAAAGTAGAAGTCCTCATGATCTGAACACAACACATATACTTTGGTTAATACTTTTACATATGACATACCATTAAAACTTCAAACTTTTCTTATTGTAAACAGTGAAAAGCACTATAATACCCAGTGGTTGTAATTCTTATTACACTGTCATTACGATAATATCTTTAATAAAATGAAAATATCTTACTTTAGCGTTAATACAAGGGAAAAGTATGCCAGCGGTGAATACAGTTAATATTGGACCACCGATAGCTCCAAATAAAGCGAATGATATTTGTAGAATATGTGAACTGGATAAAGCGAAGATAAATGCTAAACCAACTGTTGAAATACCAAATATAAAACCTGAAAACGTTTTTTTACAGTAAAATAGTAAAGTACAAATGAATAAACAAAATATACTTGGAATAAGTAAATAAAAATCTCATTTATCTAGGAGTATGAAAAATGATTTTAATGAATTAATTTCACGGAGGATTTTATCATGAGCTGACAACAGTTAGAGAACCATTGGAAAACCTGGGAGTATTGGACAGCTGTTTCTCCCTGGTTTGGGACTCTTTATCAGTACGCACTCACCGGGGTTTGAACCCAGAACCCTGCTGAAGAGTCCCGAACTAGGACGAAACAGCTGTCCAATACTCCCAGGTTTTCCAGTGGTTCTCTAACTGATGTCAGCTCATGATGAAATCCTCCATGCAATCAAACAAAATCACTACAAAACCAATACTTGAAAGTTAATTTCACGTTTAACCTGTACATCAGCTAAGTAGAACGATGACATTGTTAACAACTAGTACAGCGCTCAGATAGTAATCCGGAGACTGTTGGTTCGAGTACCCAGATTTCCACCTCACCTTCACCTATCAGACTATTACATCAATAATGGTCTGTCGATCGAAAACTATCCGAGATAATCTGACCATCAATTAAAAAGTAAAAATACTGAGAGCGTACGAAGCATAGGATGCGGAAACATTACTATAATATGCTTTACGTGATCTATTGTCGGTTAACTGATTTAGTATGTATCAGTTTTATCTGTTTCTCTTTAGGATTTCGTTATAAAAACGTGTTGTATCCTTTTAGGATATTACAACAAATTAGTCGAAAGTCAATTTTTTATTAACACATAATTAGGGGAGAAAAAGTATTTCCAAAAAAATATAGACGACATTACCAAGTTCTATCTAATTCAGAGTAGCAGAATTTTAGTGCATCAATGAAATCAGTGTCGTTAAAAAAAGTCTCATCTAATGAAAGCACTGCAAGGAAAACAAATACTGGTGTCGCAGGAGGATGAACTAATATTATCATAGAGAGATAACTTCAGAACCAGACTAGATCAGGACTGACGAGTGAAACTCATCTGCTGTCAAAAGAAAAAGTGACTCTCAGAGAGGCACTATTACAGTCTCTATGAATTCTCCGGATGAATAAACTCTTCATCTGACTTAGACTACAGCTCTTTTGAATTATAATACTCTTTTTACTAGGCCCTTGGCAATAAATTCTTTTTGGTGCTTGAGGCAGTAGATACCATACAACCTGTCTTCAGTCGTCTCTATATGATTAACTGAACTTCTTTGATTCAATTCGTTTTCATTTTCTTACAGAATGTTAATTGTTATTGTTATTATAATAATCCGAGTATTATTATTATTATTGTTATTAACAGTATGAGTGTGCATAATGTGTGTATACAAGCTATAGTAATCATCGAAATGAATTCCGATTAAGCATCACAAAACAAAATTATCGACATTGTCTCATCATTCTCATAAGATATATGCAAAGATTATTTTGAAAAATAAACGTTTGGTTCACATGGTGATTAACAAACTATTGGAAATTTCAAAAAACACAGTGCTAACGAATAAAGCTAAGTAGAAGTTGTTCAAATCGTGCATAATTTATTCTGAAAAGTATCCATTTCAGGGGCATATTTGCTCTCTAATAATGCGTAACATTAGTCTCTACAAATAATTTCCTCAGGAAAATTTAAATCTCAGGAGGTGTGGATCAGCATTGGTCTTGTGTTCAAGTATAAAACGGATAAATAAAGGGGACTTTAAATTGCAAATTATTCATCTGTTTAAAATTAAGTTATCAAGCAGAACATCGGTGATTTTCGGGTAACGGATTCGTGTATACCTATCTATTAAGTTTGGAACATGTAACTACCTATTCAGAGTTCTCTCTGAAATAAACTGCTCTTCGATTAATATTGTGTATTTTTCTTTTATCGAAACATCAATCAGGCTGATATTGAATCAAACAAAAGGCGACGAAAAACATACCTAAGTATAAGGCAACTCGATATTTCCATTTCTCTGAAATATCAACACTTTTCCAATGAATATATAACGGACGTATTATATCTTCTAGAGTAACATTAGCCAAACTGTTCACACCCGAAGATACAGTACTAAAACAGAAGTAGAATATGTTCAAAAACAATTTTTTGCCTAAAGAAAAGTTCAAACAGTACTGTACAATAATACAAAACTCATCACACGTAAAATAATGCTAAAGGACAAGTCTAGACAGCTCCTAATCTAACTAAAGAGAGAGTATGTGTGTGTGTGTGTGTGTGTGTGTGTGTGTGTGTGTGTGTGTGTAGTAATCAAATATGTTGACTGTTTCAAATATTTGTAAGTTTACATAAATTCCACATCAGCTTCACGCTTATGTATTTTCATGCTATCTATCATATAGCATACCTATCAAACAGCATTTCGCTTTATCCTACTCAACGGCTATTAAAGCAGTAGACTATAGGAAACAGCAAGTATTTAATCACAGGTTCCATCATTCACATTAGCTTCAGAGAAACACTAAATAATCCCAGAGTCAAATGCAAGTCTGTAAGTATGAAGTTGATGACTTTTTGAACGTTTAAATCTGAGGTGGTTGAGGCAATTTCAATCTGTGCATCTATAGACGAACTTTTCTGGCTGAGTTAAGACTAAGTGCGAGGAGTATTATGAATCGTTAGACAAAAATACAATACCAGTTCATCATTTCGTAGACTACTGATCTCGGACACCTAGGAAAGTGAAAATTATATAAATCAGGTCTTTTCATACATTTATTCCCCTTAATGAATTTGAACAAAGCAAGAATTACAGTTCTTGCTTTGTTCAAATAAATCAGGTCCTTAAGATGTTGAGACTCTTGTAGTGCACCATAAAACAGTTTATGCTGTCAAAGATTTGATCTCTCTTCATCGCTATTAGAATTCTAAACATCAGAAAAAGAATAACAAAGTGGTTCACTAAGTGATGAAATAGTGCAATTCAAATTGTCTGTCAGTACGTCTAATGCGATCAATTGATGTGTAAGCCTCTAAGTCAATTCTGTATTCTAGTACTAAAGGATTGTTAGGGAATTAAAAACACTTCTAGAGTCAGTGATTGGGACAACAATGGGTATGTCTGTAAGCAGCGAGTGAATTCAAAACATGCTGCATTACAACCATATCACAACAGCACACTCACATTTTGTATTAAGAAAAATAAATACTTCTTATACTATGAGGCGCGGTTTATGTAAGATAGTACACAAAACCTTTATTCAGTAATCCATGGGTTGGCAGCACAAATCTTGCAGTAAGCTAGTTGAACAATTCAGTTTCACTTATCACTCAGAAAGTGCATTATTAGACATCAGAGTCATTAACACTTCTGTAAATAAAAGTTAAGCTATTCTACTTATATATATCATTAAGTGACGATGTCCTATAAACAGCACCGGTTTTTTGAATGTTTCAGCTAGATTTCACCTCCCTATCTGAAGAAATATCAATTTCACCTTTTGAAATTCACTGACAGGGGAAATAACGAAATGAATATTTAATGACTCATTTTGAAGCATGGCTCATTATAAGAAAACACAGACTGACTGATTAAAATCAAAATGCTTTTTACCACGTTTAATTTGCAACAATAAGTTTGAAAACAGTCTCAAAAGTGATCCAGATCCAGTTCTCTTCTTCATATAGTCAATTTTTGAAAGTAAATGGTATGCCTTCTTCCTCCTTTTTGCTTTTATATTATCACTAGTATAACTAGACACGTGCTGAATCAAGCACATTCGGCATCCTATCCAACTAATATTTATACGGCTGACAATAACAATCCTCATATTGACAGTCTTCACTTTTTTCAACAAGCCCAAAGTTTTTTTCAATTAAAAGAGGTGTAAAATTCATACCGTTTCCCCATACAGAATTTCATCGTACACGACAAAATAATTGAAATAGCTTCCTGCTACGCCTATTTGCACAGTTTTCAAAAAATTACAGTGCACTGATCGAACACTCAAGCAAATGAAACACTCAGTACAATTTCATGTGTGTATGAATTAATGGCTATTCAGTTTTGTTGTAGTCCTTGACTAGCTGCAAAGATTATGCATACAGTTGGACTAAAAAGTTCCGAACTTGCTCATCTTAATATTATACAGCGATAAATAAATATACTTATAGTGTTTTAACACTCTTGCCAACCACGCACGTGGTACGGGGTCGATTCCAGGCCGATGCGTTTCTAAACCTAGCTTGACCGGTTATAGACCCAGTAAGAACAGAATGTTGGACATAAGTCTAGCAATCACAACCCGTAAAAAGACCAGTACCACTCCTACTGGCACTTCAGAGTTCAAGCTTGAAATCCACTCTGAACGCAGAGTGATGAAAAACAAACAAAATATTTAAAAATAATTTCTATTTTTTATTTTCTCAATACTAAATTTAAACATTCCTACTTTCGTAACAGTGAAAAATCTTCAGAATGCCTTATCATAAAACAAATACAAATAAGTCATGGTGTAGAGATGTAGAGATGGAAACTTGCTACTGCTACTACTCTGCTCAGAATAAAATCATTCATAAGCTTTTCGAGGGTAGTGAAAAGATATCTTAGGAGAGGATTAAACACTAATCATATTGTATGCAAATGCCTGATAATATTTTATTCAAGTCAGTTTTTGTTTTTTACCCGTTTATTGAGTGAATCAAAATGTTTGGCTTCTCTTGACATGTCAGCTCCTGGCACGGACGCTTTAACGATGTGTGAAGATTGACACTGGTGCTATTTGGTGGATGGATTCCACGGACAGTCACAATCCAACAAATAACATGAATGCTCGATAAGTTTACAAATATCCACCTGCATCACTATATTACATCCTAAATTCAACATGCCTAGACAAATATAGTCACACTTTTGATGAGGAGGACTAACTATTCCTTTGTAATGCCAAGAAGTTTCAAAAACACTCACTTTCAAATGAAACTGACAGTCGGTTAACATTAGGATATAGGATCAAACCTTTGGTCGATTTAAGAAGAATAATGTGGCTGAGAAATGACCTGTTCAACCAATAATCAATTGTAATGAGGACAAAGAACAGCAGACTAGCAGTATAACAAAGATTCATTCTTATCATGATAAAATCAAATTCAAAGTCATAGAAGCCAATCAATATTAGCAAATTTCTTCTCATAACTACAAGTGAACGAAATCCAAAGACTAGAAACACAACAATCTTAGCTGTCTCACAAATACGCATAATGTTGTGCCTGCCTGACTTCTCAACAAAGGTGCTGTTACTGACGCCATTAATCCTGCTAATGAAACACTCAGGATTAGGTGGCCGAACTCCAATAAAGGTAAATATTTATCATACAAAGATAATAAGCTTTTTTCGATCAACCTCAAGTTGTCTGTAAACTTATAAAAAAGCTTTTTGTACCTATGTGAAAATGAAACTCCTATGACCTTCTTTCTATACAACGCTTAAATTCTTGTTTATCTAAGAAGGCGTGAAGGATGTTGGTTAAAATAAAGATGTACTGTCTGAAAAAACCTAATGTCTTCTTAATTTGATTGTAGTCTCTAGACCAACTCTATATCACATGCTGAAAATGCCATACTTGTACCAAAATTACGGTGTGAAATAAAACTATAATCAAAAAATATAAAATATTTTGAAACGTTTTCTAAAATTCGACTAAAATTATACCAGTGATGAGGATCCAACCGAGAGGAAACGTCATAAAATATATTTAATGCTAAAAATATTTTTAGTATGCATTATCCACTTACTGATTACTTAACTCTCTCTCTCCCTCCCTCTCTCTGTCTGTGACACACTTACCTTAAGGCAGCTGCAAAAATAACTGACAGAAACACTCCTCGAACAAGTACAACTCCATCGAATAAAACCATTACAGCGTATGGTAGTATTTGATCATAATTTTTAATTAATCCACTCTTAACTGGATCACAACCGGAAAAATAAGCATACATAGCTAAACCAGTGAACAGTTGAAAGGCTAAGAATACACTTGTCAAGGGAATATTCAGTAGAATGGCTCTATATTAAAAAAATAAGATATGCAAACAAACACAAAAGTATATATTGTTTAGCAAAATTTACTTGAAAAAACAGTCACATATTTTTTTATCAAATATTAGTAGTTTGAGTTAAATGACAAAATATTTATAGGGTTATGAATCTTTACATACTTATAATTGCCTACCCCAAGCTGTTTTTTGTCAAACTGTGGAAGTTATCAAATCAACGCATGAGGTTAGTTTATGAAGACGCTGTCTGTAAATCTAAACCAAGTATACGGGCAGCTGACTGGTTCATCTGATCCCACAAACTATGAGCTATGAGCCACGCTTATTGTGTGATAGCTTCTGATACCAACCACTTGCCCCATCTGAAATAGGTTGAGTAGGATTCGAACTCAGTTACAACTGGTTGAAACCCTAGTGTCTCCTAGTGAGATCGCAAGATCATTCACCTTACAAATGTCAAGCACTTTCAGTAATCTTTATTAAATTAATCTGTTCATTCTCATGTGTGTATTTGGCTAGCGACCTTTAGTTTTTTATCTGTTCAACATCTGTTCGCTGATGAACCTCTGGCTACGTTACTGTATGATGTAAACGGATAATATATGACGCGTTTATTAAAGACGAGAAGACGACTCAGTTACGGACTGACATAGTCTATTGTCGCTGCATATTACTAAAAAGTATTACATTCTAATACAGCAGTACTTTTTAGGTTTTAACACTTCTCCATCTGATGTTCGTTTTCAATGAGAAAGAACATTTCTGAAGGTTTTTCTATAGCCCCCCCCCCAAAGAAAAACTCTCAAATGAACAGATACTAATAGATTACATGAAAGTATCTTCATCGGTAATATCCAACATGAACTCATATTGTCCAAAGTCATCTCTGCTGACTTTTTCCATACAAAGTAACCCTTAAAATGCGAAAAAATTCTACCTTAGCTGAAGTTTTGTCTCATGGGATTTTCACTTTAAAAGCACTGAACTTCTGAAGTGAGTACACGTTCAATTGGTTCTTACACTTCAACCTTGCAGTTATTATCATTAATTATTTCTTTAGGTTCTGAGTGGAACATGGGACTTCAACAGGACAAATCTACTTTTTCCTGCTCTCCGAAGTCCTCTTTAGCTGACTTTATGATTTTCCACAAATTTTCATTTCCTCTTGACACGATCTCTTCCATATCCCGCTCGGACGCTCAACTTGTCATCTCTTATTTATCTTCTACTCGACAGTCTGGTGCGTAGTGTCACTCAACGGCCTCCTTAGAGTGTTTCCGATCCACCTCAGTCATCACAAGGAAATTCAAAGCAACATATGTTAAACTATACATTATACAGTAAACCTAGAATTCACTATTATGATACGGTGTGTTTATTCTATCTAAAACACACTTTGAAATAATGATAATTATCAAATGGTGTCTCTACAATAATTAATTCTGTTGTCTGTGTACAATGTACACTTTCAAGCTTATCAATCAACAGCAGCCAGATTATTAACAACGTTGAGTTTTGTCGAAAGATATCAAAACAAAACATCATCACACAAAATGTTTGAATAGTGTTCACAGCAGTGTCAGTAATCACACTAATTTGTCGCACATATGTAAGCCTCTGAATTCTGTCGTATTGTTAGTTGATTCCAGCACCATATATAAAAGAATGGTTTGTTGATTTATTAAACTACCTATTTACTGAAACTTTACACGCATGCTGTGCAAAGTAAAACGCTGATATATATATATATATCTTCGGTAACATTGTTGGATAGGTTCAATTTTCTGACTTGTCCACCATGGTCAAATATCCTTCATCGTACAATCTGCTAATGCATAGAAAAGCATCCTGCATAAGTCCAGAATGAGTGTAGAACGTGTAAACAGCATACAAAAATCTCGGAAACTTTGAATAAAGATCATTTATATTTTCACCTAGTACACTATGCATATATATATATATATATATATATATATATATATATATTCACAAATTATCAGTTTCAAACTGTCTTGAGTATCAAAAATAAAAATTAAGGCCTCTGACTAAAAGCCGTTGACCAACCGTAAAACCGATATGCTTTTTTATGTAAATGCGATTTCATTTGTCTAATATACACAATTTATTAACTACTAACATAATAACTTTGAGAAATAGTAATAAAAAACCGAATTCTTGAAACTATCCAACATTAGTCTGATTAAATTCACAGTTTTAATAGTGTGAAATATTCCCATATCATGAATTAAAAGGCAATATGAACTAAGAATATTCTTTTCAATAATTTCTCTTCAGGTTCTTACAATTATAAAATATAATATTTGTTGTCGTTACAATAAAGGCCAGTTATGTGCCTTTTTACGTAGAATAACAGATTAGTTATGGGGTGTCGAAATAAATAGTAGTATTTGTGTGACAAACGTGGTAGGCTGAAATCGATTAGAAAATATTGTGAAACGGGAGACAATGGTGGTGATTAGTCATAATAGATTTGTAGAGTGTGGGGTAGGAAAATTGACAAGGCAGTTCAAGGTTATAAAAGGTGTAAGGTGAGTGGCTAGTACAAGGTGGTCTGTGTTAAACAGGAGATGGTAAGACTGCATTGACAGCTTCATAATGAAATAACGAATATATGAAATGAAACAGGTGGAGGCATAAATTGAGAAATGAGGTTATATCACTAATAATAAGTCCAGATAGTGTTTTTTTCCTTTGCTTATTATTACAAATATTATTTACCAATTTGAATGTACGTGTGGACACACATACATAGGGAGGACTCATCGATCTCTGCAAGTAAGGGCTTCAGAGCATATTCCAAAATGGCTCCAGAAACAAATGGAATCATCAGAACCTATTAACGGTGAGAACAGGAGACCTAGCTCTTCTATTGCGAAACATATTATAGAGACAGGTCATAAAATTGATGTTAACAGATCTTTTAAACCTATCTATAAAACGTGTTTGGGGCGTATCCTAAAGTTTGTAGAAGCCTTAGCAATTAGAAAATTCAAGCCACCTTTATGCGTTCAAAAACAATTTGTCATCACATTAAACCTTCCTTGGTAAATTTTGTTTTGATACCATAGCAGATGTACTATTACCTCTGCTATTTGGTTTAGTGGTCTTCATTTTTATTTTTTGACCTTGAATATGTCCTTTTAACTTGACCTAAGTCTATTTTTCTCACCTCTTACCTCTTTATTAATTTTTTATATATATATTCCTATGACAAGTCCGTGTGTGATCAGATTGTTCGAAATGTGTTGCGCAAATACATTACACGATTCAGACAAATTACGTCTTCTTATTGCTTTATCTAAACAAATATTATTATTACAACTATTATTATTCGTCACAATCTATGCCCTTCATGCAAACATTCCCTCAATAGTATACAGTTATGTTGGGCGTGCTACTAGACAGCTTAGCCAACGTGTTAGTGAACATCTTCCGTCGTGGTTTAGCAAAGAACAGACAAAAACAATCCGTCGCTCAATTTTATCACATTTAATTGATAGTGGTCATGTAGTCGAGAAAACGAGAGCCTTCAAAGTAATTCATCGTATCCCACCGAATCTTTCCAATAGACTTCGTATTCGTCTACTGCACACAGCTGAGGCGATAGGCATTCGAACTATTAAACCTAAACTGTGCATTCAAAAAAGCTCGTACAGCCATTATCCCTCCCTTGACCTATTAAGACATAACCAACTAAAGACTTCTACACAACCGCTTGTTTATATTTTCAACCCCTTTCTTATCATCCCTTAATCTTATCTTCATTATAAACGTGTTTTATTTCCTTCCCATGCAATCTAACATTACTTAATCGGTTCATTTGTTTTACTAGCCTTTATTGACTATTTCCACCTGATCATTTATTTGTTTAGTCAAGCTGTTTTTCATTATTCGTGTTATCACAGATTTCCTCACTTTTTCATCCTTATTATTGATAAGACCATTATTATTATCATTACTACTATTATGACTAATTGCACAATTTATCCCATAGATAAAACACCATGATTGGTCTATATTTGAATTTTTAATTGTTAACTTATATATATTAGAGTTACGCCTGATGAGATCTAATTGAAAAAAAACACTGTCCGCTTAAATGTGTTGACCTAAATTTTACTATGGGAATATTTAATATATTGAAATCTATTACGACTAATCACCACCATTGTCTCCCGTTTCACAATATTTTCTAATCGATTTCAGCCTACCACGTTTGTCACACATATACTACTATTTATTTCGACACCCCATAACTAATCTGTTATTCTACGTAAAAAGGCACATAACTGGCCTTTATTGTAACGATAACAAATATTATATTTTATAATTGTAAGAACCTGAAGAGAAATTACCGAAAAGAATATTCTTCATTCAGATTGACTTTTAAACTCAGTTAATAAGTGACGAACATGAAACAAGTCCATTTACTCAATGATCAATAGTCAGGTGAAATGTCTGCTTCAATTATTCATTTTTCAAATAACTGACTTATTGACATGTTTGTACTTGAAAATTTTGAAACTGAGGAAGCCTGGTGTCCTGTTCGGCTATGAATCAGTTGGATAGTTATTCGTTAGTTTCCTCTCTCTCTCTCCCTGATATCGCCTAGCAAGCACTGAATATATATCAGGTGACGATATGTGTGGCCTCAGTTTTTTCTTTACAAAATGATTTACATTGAGAAAGTGTCGAGAAGGTCAAAGATAGTAGTCTGAATATTTATTTCTTTTTTGCCAAAGAAAGTCATGGTAGAATTTCACCTCAGACTGTACATTTTTTCTCGTTGAAAATATACTGTCTGATCAATAAACTGATTTAAAAGAAGGAATGCATCCACAGCATAGTGGCATGATACTTTTCAATAAGGCTGTAATTCTTTCATAAAATTGTCTACTAACTAGTTTAATTATGTATATATCACCTAAATACTTAAGTTTACTTATATCACATATTGATTATGCTGACTGTTAGCTGTGCTTTTTGACCAAGAGAGAGAGAGAGAGAGAAGACATCATACCTCAAATGACAGTCTTAGTTTAGATCTCAGTGATTACTAATGTATATTTACAGATATTTCAAATACGTAACTGTTTGTTACTAAACAGTGAAGTACAATGTAAATAATCAATATGATCTTGGAGAATTAAATAAGAACTGGATCCCAAAGTCATGTTGTACTGTGTAAAGCTATAAAATAAGTAAGCACTTAGAGAAGGTATTAACCACTTTTTAAAGTAAAATGCGAGAAGTTACTGTTTACGCAATAGGCTCAATGGAAGGGGGACACTTATGACGAAGTTCAAAAAAAGACTTCACTGTTTAAACTGCACCATCGTTATATTAGTTAAACTGAATTAAAGCCAGAGCCACCTTTCTACAATGCATATTTTGAATAGCTTTTTTAACTAGCTGCATTAAAGTAACCCCTAATGGCTTCATGACTTTCATGTATCCACACACTGACATAAGTGATTATTATTATTACTACTACTATTCTGGGTACATCAGAAAAGGTGTCTTCAGTATCTGGAAAGGACACTTACTTACAGATGAGTGAGGGTTGAAATACTTGTTGATTATCTGCACTGAAAATTGCAATACAAGTATCTTGCCATTGAAATTGACTTCCCTTCAGAATGCAAAATGATCAATAATTAAAGACTATGGTGTCTAACAAAAGACTGTTTCTTTTAAGACTTATAATAAGGTAAAGCAAGCAAAATGTATTTTCTCTGACTCTGGTCTTATAAGTAGTTAGTAAGTGCTTTCGGATGAATTATGCGTCTAAATCAGATACAGGTTATATTCGAATCTCCTTAAAACGAAACCTCTAAATACTTGACAATATATTTATGAGTTGTATACAAGTTGCACATCTGATCATTTGTGACTTCGAAAGGGTAATACCCTAATGAAATCAATAAAAGTAACCTACACTTGTGGAATAACACTGAAGAAGAACTAAACGGTAAAACATAATGACAATATTTTTGTGTGTGGTTGTGTTCTGTGAGTTGAGTGTTTTAGTTGCTAAGCTTTCATTGCCATCCTCGGAGAGTACTTCGACTACAACAAAACCATTCGATTGAATTACAAATATTCTCCATTATGTAATGACCGTACATCAGATGAACGTTAAGAACACTTTAGTTATTACAAGTAAGTTGTATTTTTTTGACTAAGCACAGTATCACGTGACAAAAGGTAACAAAAGTTAAGAGCTACTTAGAAGTCAAATTCGCTACTTGCAAAACTGTTTCGCAATTTTGCAACTTAATGTTCAATTTACACACTTCGACGTACCCATTTCAACACAGCTACCTTTGCAGACCAAAGTTACTCAGATCACAACATGTGATATTCTTGACACCGTAAACTGTAGCCAAAAAACCAAACATAAATGCATATTACCATATACTTTAGATTGGTTGAGAGGAGTAGTTGCACACCACTCAGATCAAACAGTAGCGCTTGCTAGCCAAATAGAAGTGATTCAAACACTCGGTGGCCGTTTCGCTCGCTTGAAGCTTAGCTCACCAGCGATGTATCTCCAGTTTGGTCTGCCTTAGTGTGTCAAATCAGTTCAAACTACCCCATTTCTGCCAGTTACTTGGAGGAAATGTTAACACCATATATAAAAATCCGCAAACTAACTATACTAACAATAATGGTGATCATCGGTTACCGCTTTCTGGGAACCTAGTAAATTTACAACTGCTAGTTTTAACAACCACTGTCAGCAATCGATTAATTATATGGTAACTTGTTTTGCTTTCAAATTATACCAGTGCTGTTTTGTTTCAGATTGTATAAAGAAGACCAATTCCCCTAATAGATTCAAATACTTCACATCAGTCTGTGTTAAGAGGCACTGAACTTATGCTAAGTGAAATCACCAGAAGATTATCTCCTTGCATATGCTTTTGTCCACTTGCAAGGGATGCTGAATATCTGGACTTTAAGTAATTAGTTTTTACTGTTGAAAATTTTCGTGTCTTTTGTTCACGAGTTAGGCGACACTAAACACATTTGCGTGTCACGGAGTGTTTGAATATGTAGGTGGCGCAGTTATTTTCACAGAAGGCCAGAATTACCGTGGTAGTTCTCAAACTTTTCATCGTTTCACGCCAGTTCAGCAGGAAACATGCTTGAGCACAATCTGGTCAATTAAGATAAGTATAATCCAGCACATATTTGTTCATAACATTTCTTTCTGGAATTTTTTTTCCTTCACGTTCCCAGTGGAACATAGGGCTTCAAGCTAGTGGCTTGAAGTTTCTGTAGCAGTGTTTATTTTACAGGATGGGGTTGCTAGCCTCATGCCCAACCTTTCCTCTTTACCAGCATTATTTCTGGCTTAGCGAGGTAAAGGAGTGCGTCGGCCGGGGATCGAACCCCGGGCCATGTGCATGGTCGGCGAGCGTCCTAACCGCTATGCCACCGACGCTCTGGGATTAATTTACAAATATTTTAATAATGCTGTTCATAAATAGATCTCCTGTACACTAAAAGTAAGACTAATCAGGTGTCATTTTTTATTGCTAGGTAATTTCTTTTCCACTCACATAAGCATACAATGAGATAGACAGTTGGTGTAATTTATTAGAATGGTGTTTTTAATTCTGAAAATATTTTTTGAAAAGAAAGGGAAACACAACAGCCGCCAGGAGTATTAAGTAATAACTCTGTTAGAAATTGCACTACATAGGAGATAACACTCATCAATTGACCGAAATTCAACGTGAGAAGAATGTGAGGCCTACATCCTCCTTGAGTGGTTTACTGTTTACAAACAACTGGAAGAAGCGAAATAGCAGCAGAAAAAGTTATTTCTATGATACTCATGATACTTAACTGTGTATGTCAATTCAATTTTGGAAATGAATGCACTGAATAGGGAACATGTGTATAGCTGGTGCGATATAATGAGACTATAAACCAACAAAGCAGCAATAAGTCAGTCTACTACACAATCATACATCACGTAGAATGATGCAACGGTAATATATATATATATATATATATATATATATATATATATATATATATATATATATATATATATATATATTAAAGTCAAACACATCATCTTACCTTCGAGCAGTTTTTAAGTCCCGGCAAGCCATATATCGTTGAATCTGTGTTTGATTAGCACCGAATATACTAAGAACTAATCCAGAACCACCGAATATTAATGTCCAAAATGTATGGCGTTTAAAAGGGTCAAAACTAAAACTGGAAATATGAAAACAATGACTGGATGGATATCAAAAGATTTTAAGAGTATTCAAATGTTTCTTAACTGTATTCATCTTACAAAAATATACTTACCATCTGCAAACACATAAGATTAGGCACGTGTATTCACCATATGCTCCACTCGCAACCCAAGGGAATAACAACAACAGTGAATTATGACAGAAAGAAATGCACTTTAATCGTACAGCTGACTGTGCAATAGGAAAGGAACTACAAATATGATATAATCAGACGATACCGACAGGAGGTTAGATGTCAGGAATCAAAACACAACTTTCTTTCTTGTTGAAAGTCATAAATAAGGCTTTTCTTTGTCTACTAAAACATCCCTTAAATTGTATCCGTCGGTTTTGAAAATGTAGACATCATCACCAAGTTATTCAGATCACTACCGATATTCTGCAGAACTGGTTGAAATAAATGAATCGGCTGCTCGTTGGTCACTTATCAGCTGTTTACAAATAGCAAAATTTGGACAGACAATATGAAAGAATATTAACGTAAACTAACTCTTTGGCGTTTTGTATTTTCTGAGATAATATCACAATAGTAAAAATAATAGAACGGTGTCAAATCTTTGATCAGTTATCTGTGTTCTAAAGATACCTTTCTCTGACTACAAACACTTGATTAATTGCAAGGAACAGTTGCTGTAAGTAGAACATACGAAAATATTCGAGGTTGTTGGTTGCAAGCGAATTCTATTAGCTCTTCATATTAAGTAAAACAATATGGTTACCATGATTAACAGTGAGGTTTAGTGTAAAATGCTTACTAATGAGAATCAGTTAGTTTATGAAATTATAAATACCTATTGATTAGACTGGTATGCTGTGCTATCCTCGTAGAGGATGACCTGTGTTAACCGAAGAAGCTTTATATTGGTAAAAATGATAAAAATGACTACTTTTAGACACCTCATGAGATGGCTAGGATTACTTACATTAACTCAGGTTCATACTCTTCTGATCGTCACCTAGTTCCCGGGGAGGTGAAATTATATTCATCCAATCATTTCTCGCCCTTTTTTCCATCATAATATTATTCCACTTTTGTTGCTTAGCTTTATGTGCTTTATCAGGGTGTAAGAACTTGATTTGTTACAATTTCCCCCCTAAGTCTTACGTCGACTTGTAAGATAGTCAGTCAAATTATGATTGTAATCCAGTTACATTTGAAAAGTTGTCAAATGAGGAAAAAAATAAGCATCAGTTTTAATTCCCTAAAAATTAATTTAAATTTAGATTTAACACTTAATTAGAATCTTCACTCTGTTTTGAATCAAAACGCCTTCAGATATGCACAAAAGTTGTCATAATGAGAGATTTAATTATTCCACAGAGCTTTCTTACATACGAGACAGGTGTAACTCAAGGTATTAATCACCTTTTTTTATAACGATAGTGGCAATGACAGCAAGAGAAAATCCACTAGCTAACGATGTTCCATTCTCTTATTTTCTCCTACAGTTCGCTTCATGACAATGCCTACTCCAGATTGTATTTTTTTTAATGAAACGATGCCTGCAGCTAATTGGTAGTGTCTATGACAAATAAGAACTTAGTATCAATATCAGTAATGATGATGATGATAATAATAATAATAATAGTCAGTGTTTTTCACGTAAACCTCAGAGATAAATTAGCATTTATAGTAGTCAGTTATAAATAAACGAGTAATTTTCTGGTAAGGGTTAATTAGTAAAACTTTCAATGAAAGGAAATATAACCACTTACTCAAAGGATTGAACACGCTGACCCTCTAATACTTTATCCCATAACGGTTTTAAACCGCCAATTTTAAGAGTAATTAAGACTGTGATGATACAAAATCCTCCGATAAGAATAATAAGTTGAAAAAGATCTACCCAGACAACTGCACGAATACCACCCTGAAAAGAATAAATTTTACATCAATGAACAGATCAGTTGCGTATTGGCGTTTTCATAGTGTTTTTAATCCCCTACAAATTTTAGGAAACTTCAATCTAATAACGTGAACAAGTGTTTAATTTTCCCGTAGACATGATATTTATTCTAATTACTGTTTTAAAACATCAATAAGCCTGAATGCAGTAAAAAAATCATCGGAAAGTTTGGGGTGAAAAAAGAATTTAAAAAAGAAAATGATTTCTCTGTAAAACGTGGGAACTCCATTGGTTATTCTGGTGTACATACATCCAACTGACGAGTCACCAGTACAATGGGTCGCATGTGTTGCATATCGTCGATAGCCGCTGACAAACACCTTATCAATCTAAAATTGAAGGATGCAAAGGTATTTTTCACTACTTAGAGCGTTTTCAAGGCACACACTGGTCACAGTCCTTATCATTCAAAGGTCAGTAATTTACCACTATGTGTGATCCCAATTTCGTGAAATTAGGTAGAAATTTTTCGCACATTCCTATACTGGAGTGTGAGCCTCCCTTTTTTTGTAAAAACAGGCTTGCATACTGATGACCTGCCTTTTTTGACGATGGTAAGTGAACTTGAATACTTTTGAACCAAGGCAGATGGTTGCGTTAATAAGGCTGTATTTCAAGACTCAAGGTTATACAGGAATAGAACAGCCCTATAGTATTGGATAGTGAAAAAAAATTTATTTTTGGAAAACTCTTCAGAACTATACTTAAAACCATTAAGTTTTATAGACACTAAGGCGATTTCACTTTTTTTCCATATTTACTCATTAACACTTCGACAAATTCAAATATCGAAAAATGATCGACACATGTAACTACAATGCTGAATGAATATTTCGCCAACTTCGATTGGTTTGGCTTCAAATAGCAGAAATGTGATGATTTCTGAAGTGCACTGTGTACTTCGATAGTACAAAGGTGAATTAACAAACTGCAAAATGCACTCTAAATAGCCTACACGTTATTATACAGCAATTTAATATCATCTATAAAGCCTTTTTGAATGAAAGCAGCCTTTGGAAATACCAATAATTGAGCAAGTTACAAACTTAACCATCATTTGTTGTACTGAATATTTTCTTCAACTTAGCTAGTAGAAAATACAGAATAGAAATTTGTCACTAAAGTGTATTCCAAATGAACACACTGAAAATCTAATCTAAGAGTGGAATTCAGGCAGTACAGTCAAATAATACTACTCCATATTGAATAGATTTATTTGATACAAAAACAGTGATATAGTGTTAATAACTGGATGATGTTTCGCGTATGGAGGACTACATCATGAGCTGAAATCATTCAGAGAACCATTGGAAAACCACCAGGGAGTACTGGACAGCTGCTTCATCCTATCTTGGGACTCTTCAGCAGCACGCAACCACTACAGGGGTTTCGAACTCACGACCTTCTGGTTACAAGGTGTGCTCGTGCCACAATTCATTTCTCATAACCATATCATATCACGTCAAATCACATCACATCGATATGATTGTAAGCAACAAACTGTGCATGAAACATGATTATTAATAATGTATCAGTGTGTGTGTTTGTGTTTGTGGAATACTGTGAAATATTTAGAAAGATTAAATAACAATCCAGTTAGAGGAATTTTTGGCAGTTTACAATCACAGATTGACGACTTTTTATGGTAAAAAAAACTAAGTTTATGGCTCCTTGAGTTTATTATCTTTTTCTTGCTGACGCTAAATATGTCACACCATACTACAACACACACAAAATAATTATCAATATTGTTTTTGTTAGCTCAAAAATAATATTTTATATTATTGAATAAAACAGCTATGAAGATGAACACTGTTAACAGCTTCAGGTATAAAAATGATCTGGTGGTTTTTATTGGTCTGTTCACTTTAATTTTCTTTCTAAAAGCTTCTACCTTTAATTTTGTCGCTTTTTTCATTAGACAGTAAATTTTGGGGAGAATAAGATTAGCAAATAATTCGGTGAGATTTATCTACTAACAGTCGATAGTTATCAGCACATGCATCAGGCTTAAATAATGTACACGCATATGTGCGTTACACATTTTACTGAGATACAAAACTTACAATAGCTGTGTAAAAAGTAGCAACCGTGCCAGTAGACAGTATTGATACCCATATAGGTAGACCGCTAACTGAAAACAATAGAAAACAGAATATGCAATTCAAGAAAAAATGAAAGAAAAAGATATCACTCATCGGCTCATGTGATCATACTCAACCTACAATCACGTGTCAGTCATAAATATCTTGTTAATCAAACTGACTCTGAAACCTACTAATAGAACAACTACTTCTGCTCAGTCAGTAGGACAGAGGATCTGCAAGATTATATTATTATTTCTTTTAATTCTTAGAGGAACATAGGGCTTCAGCTGCATGTCTCTATTGCTTTCGGTTCTCTGCTAAAGTTTTCACCTGGCTCCAGGTCTGCCCACATGCTTTCATCTCCTCTTCACATGACCTCCTCCAACTCACCCTTGGACAACCAACTCGCTGCTTCCCTTTTAGGTTCCACTCGAGCCATGGCTTGTCTAGTGATGTCACTTGATGGTTTCCTCAAAGTATGGCCAATCCACCTCCATTTCTTCCTGCCTATTTATTGCACAATCGGTTCCTGGTTGGTTCGCTCAATGCCATAGATCCCTGTTGCTGATCTTTTCTGGCCGGCTATCTGATCTTGAGTACTGAGCGAAGGCAGCTGTTGATGAAGGTCTGAAGTTTGTTTGAGGTGCTCTTTATGACGCGCAGTGCAAGTCTCTGATCCGTATAGTAAGTAGCACTGACTCCACATTGGAGTTGAAAATCCGGATTTTATTTTTGATTCTGAGTGCTGTTGACCTCTACACAGACTTGAGAGTAATGAGGGCTTGTCTTGCTTTCCCGATCCTTGCTTTGATATCCTCGTCTGCAAGATAGAGGAAATTAATTCAACTGTTAAATGATCCAAATTTTTATTCCAGCCGCGGGAGCCTACTTAAAACCTGGGCTACCAAAAGCTTCCTTTTCTCTACTGCATATATTTTCTCTCGTTCAGTTTGTTTTGATCGATTAAGATATGACCTCTAATGGTATTGTCTACTCTCGTATGTATTTCAAATGCTTACAAGCTTCTGATTCGCAAGTCGCTATTCAACTTGAGGAATGGTCTTACTATGGATAGCAACGTATTCCAATACATGAGGTAACTGTTTTTCAGCTATGTTCTTGAGTCTCAAAATGTACTCGTGAACATCTTACAATCGGCTTTCGACTATATATTGTGAATTTTTCAAAGGACACCAAAGAGATATATATAGAATGGTCTGTGCTTCAGTTTAGAGACCATTGTGTCACAGGAAGTACTGCCAAGTATTAGTTTACTTGGAGGTATTATACAAAGGGAAAATATCATGCAATGAAAAACTCTGAAAATTCTGTACATTATATAACTACTGTCCAGAATAAACATGCTATTATTATGAAATGACAATGCCATTAAACACAGATATCAGACTTTATAAATAAACAGTGGGTATCTCAGCTAGTTTGAGAAATAATGAGTTGTAAAACAAAAAAAATAATTAAACATCCTTATTACAGTTTAGAATTAATACTAATTACTGAACTTACACAAATTAACAATCAGCGTAAATTCAACTACACGTGATTTATGCTACAAACAATGTCATTAATACTTAACTGAACTTTTTTTTGATCAGAAAGAAATTTATTTAACACATGTCTAAGAGTATGTATGTCTATTGATTGATTGGTTGACCAACCAACTAAGTTGTTAACTGATTAACTAATTCAACAGACTGACTCAGAAATGATTGTTTAATTAGTAAAAACAATCATGAGTACTACATTATCAATAAAAACTTTTGGAGTCAGTGTCATCAACACACACTGAAAGAAGGCAAGGAATTTATTACAAAAGCACACACAAATGTAGAGATAGTCACTCACCTTGACTAAATGCCAAAGCAGGAGCATACAGTGCAAGCGCAATATACACTGTCTGTACACATGGTTTATTTTCAACAGATTTGAGTGGAGGCAGAGGAAAACAGAAGAGAACAACAAAAATACAATGAAACAAAACACACGAAGTAGTCACACAGAAAAGTTAGTACAGAGATATGTGATGTGTTCAGACAGGATGACGTGGTCATGAAAAAATTCAATTTCCTAAGAAATCACGTCAAATTATCATTTCACAACACGATTAACTCCAGTGTTCATGGAACAATAGCTTGTTTAGTTGATTCATACATTCATAGGACAAAAGGAACCTCGGAAAGTCACTCACAGAAAGAAACAGATAAAGTAAAGATGAAAGTTGAAAAAAAAGTGGAAGCCAAAATAACTGGAAGTGAATTATTCAACTTAATAATCAGCCTGAATAAATTCCGATCAAAAACCCATTGAATGAAAGACATGCTCAGTTTCATCTAACATGAGGTATTGGTGAAGGCAACACCCGGACTGAATTCTCATGCTTTTTAGCAGAAAACGAAGAGTTTGTGAAGTAGTAACTTGCTAAAACAAAAAATTCAAACATATGATGATACAGAGAATGATTCCAAGATAATTTTTGCTAACTCTAATTGAATTTTAGATTTTCCCGTCGATTGATTGGACCGAAGTGCTCGGTCTCAGGTTGACATGTCGGCTTCTTCTACAGATGCTTCGACGATGTCTGAGCATTTTTAATTGGTATTCAATTGGTGGATGGTGACTAGCAGTGGAATCCAGGATGCGCGCTTCGTCCTATCTTGGACTCGTCAGGTGGATGTACCAGCCGACATGTCAACCTGAGACCGAACACTTCGGTCCAATCAATCGACGGGAAAGTGCGAAATTCAATTAAATAATTAATATGACTCTCTCCACAAGAGTTGGCCAGCTCTCGTGGCCCGAGTGGTCTAGTGGATAACGCTTTTGCGTTTGAAACTATGGGCACTGGGTTCGAGGCTCGGTGGGAACAACATCCCTCACTGAGAAACGCAGGTAAATCCAGGTGATAAGTCCCAAATGGGACGAAATGTGCATCCTGGATTCCACAGTTAGTCATCATCCACCAATTGAAAACGTTTCATACTCTCTTTACTGATTGACAGTGCTTTACAAATTGTTAACTTTATTGTATTTGACGCAGTAGTAGTAGTAGTAGTAGAGGTCTGAATTATGCACTGAATAAAGTAAACTCAGTAGGTAATCCGTCGAAGTAAAAAGAAAAGATGACATATAATGATAATTTAGTGACAAATCACTCGGATAAATCGTTAGTTAATTACAATCAACTTCATTCCAGTCAACTTAAAAGTAATTCAGTGTTAATTTTGAGATAAACCGTTCGCCAGTTTCTTTGAGTAGGACTAGAAAATTCAAACGGCTGACCTTTCTATAACTAATAGGTAAATATTTAACATAATGATATGATAATCGCTTGAAAAAGTATACCACAAAGATTTCAACTTAGAAATTAAACAGATAAGCACTGACCAGGGAAACAGAATATTTTCAAGTACTGATTTTGTAGGGAATTTTTTGATTGGTTAGGGGATTTTATAATGAGCTGACATCAGTGAGAGAAACACCGGAAAACCTGGGAGTACTGAACGACTGTTTCGTTCCAATTTTGGACTCTTTAGGAGTACGCAATCACCGGGGTTCGAACTCAGGAACTCCAATAAATCAAACAAAATCCCTACAAACCCACTACTTGAAAGTTAATCTGATGCTCACTAGCAACTGGCCATATTCAAGCAGTTACCTAGGATTCTAGGGGGAAGCCATGACCAGGAGGATATAGCAGGTTGAAGGTTAGGCAGTAACTCAACAAATAAGACATTGTGAAGTGGTCGCGCTATGTCGTCAATTGGCAGAAGTTAGAGTTAATGGGCTGGCCATTGGATAAAGTGCCAGTGGCGTAATGGGCTACGAGTTCGCCTTGTCGTGGGTTCGAACCCCTGTGGCGGGTGTGTGCTGGTCAAGAGTCCCAAATTAGGAGGAAAAAGCTGTCCAGTGCTCCTTGGTGGTTTTCCAATGGTTTTCTAACTGATTTCAGCTCATGATGAAATCGTTCGTTCAATAAAATAGAATGTGTTGAATTCAGTTCCATATGAACTCGAAGATTACTTTGTTTAAGAAGTGAGAAATGACTTTAAATCAGTCAACTTTCTTTATAGCACCACATTTCACAGCAGGTCTGAAAGCTGAAACTAACTCGATAGATATATGCAATTGTTTTGAATCAAGATTATTATTAGTTTGGATTAGCCAGAACATTCAGACGAACCAAGTGTATATAAGAAAGTTAACCTGTGAATTGCATAACTTTTGTGGTCATACTACTATCATTCAAAATATCAGAACTAAAACTGCAAATTTGGGATGTATAGTTGATATTGAGACATAAAAATGTGGCTAAAGCTGCCAGTGTTTGGATAGTTCCATGTTTACGTTTTCGTCCAATAAACTTTCAACATCAACCTAGCCATCATCTTTAGTACTCTCTGTGAGCAAGTGAAGCTGATACACCATTCAAAATTACTTGAAGAAGTTATCATTGGACAAAGATAAAAAAAGTGTGCGTTGGTGGCTCAGAGACAGAATACATCTCAGTCATGTACATGGTCTGAGATTCGATCCCTAGCTGACACACATCTGTACCTAGCTTAACCGGTAGTAAGCTTGGTAAAAAGGAAAAGTTGGGGGGGAGGTGGCTAGCAGCCTCACTCTGTAAAGAAAACCACTGCTACTGAAACTTCAAGGCTTGAAGTCCTATGTATCATTCAGAAAGCAAAACACTAAGCTAAAAATATAATGTACAAAGAAGTAATAGATGACTGTTATCCTGCTTTATAACTGGTGTATCTACGGAAATTCTACTTATTTGATTTCTAGTTTACGTGCTTATTTCACTTTGACCTATGGGCTGATGTTCTTATGATTGAACTTTTCTTAACACTGAATTAAATTCTGTTGAAGGTGTTTCCGATGGATTTATTCTTATTTATTCTTCACAACTACAGAATCTTAGATTATCATTCATAACCAATGATAGGCATGATATTTCCGGTGGGAGATGATTCTTGAACCAGTAAATTGATTAAACTTCCACGCCTTAGTGTAGTGCTGTTGTCAATACTATAAATATTATTCTTTCAAATGAATGACAAATAACAAATTGAATGGAGAATTTATGTCAGCGGTACTGATGAAGGTATTTGAATAACAGTGTGTTTTCCTGTCTCCCATTGGTCATCTTACGTGTGAATCTATCCAAAACGATAGTTGACCCCTATCAGATCAGTATAAAGAAAATATCATAAAATTAAGCACCAGAAGTACAAGTACTTGAGAAGAAAATCGAATTCCCCAAATCTAACCTGATAACCAGTTAAGTAATGTTCTTCACACAATCACAATAACCACTTGGTTATTTTACTCAGGTTTCATATCTGCAAGATATTGAGTCACTCTGGATCTATTGTGTTTCAGTAATGACATCCATCAGCCTTGTACAAAGAATTCGGAGGAATCTGGCAAAATTCACTGTTTCCTATTTCAGATATGCTCGTCGAGGGTCAATAACGCTGGAGATTTGTCTAATAATGCCAGTCTCATCTGAATACAGATAATAAATAAATCCCCAGTGAACTTCAGTTCAGTTGTTCTCACTGTTCGAATCAAATAATGGGAAGGTAGGTAAAAAGGTGTAGATTTATTGATAATAAGTACCACCAGTTTGAATTCTGAATAAGATAAACTTTTACAGGGAAGATATATAAACTGTTATTATGCTTTATCAGCTTTAAGCGTTTAGCAAGAACATTTTCAAATTAAACAGGTTCATCAATGTATCCTGAATCTAAGAGTGAACACTATTATAATAATAAGTATTATTGAATATATCCTTGTTAAATTTAACTAAAATACCTCATTACTAAGTAGGTAAAATATAAATATTCACAAGGTAGTATTATTAGAATTTATCAAGGAAAATACTCAGGGTACTATTTTTCCATAATATTTCATTATTGAACTAAACTGTACGACACCTGGTCCTGAAATCATAATTTCAAGAGAGTTAATATATTTTCTTGTTGTTGATGTCAGATAGGTAGATAGATAGACAGTATCAACAAAGAACTTCACATTGCAATGTAATGGTTAAACTTATCACATATCATATCTGTACACCAAGCGACAGTCAGACAGTACAGTGACAGAGCTCAGACAATGAAGATGAAGAAATCAGATATCACGGTCAAAAAAAAGCTAAAGAATGGATACATTTGAAGCAGTGGGATCGATAATGAATCATGTCACCCTTATGTCGCTAAATATAAGCTTATATTGTTCATCTGAAACTCAATCAGGTGAAGTACAATTTTCTGTCGAATCAACTGCATCATAGGTTGACGCAGTATCTTGGTTTAGCCTCTTCTAACTTTTTTTTCGAAATGACCTTACTTCACTGGATTTAACACAGTATACTCCACCCTAATTTGTATCCTATCTGAACTATAAGTAGAAGACTTAATGTATGACAGAGGAGCCTTCTGCTTTCTGAAAACAGAAATCACTAGAAACATATGTATTATAAAGGTGAGTAAAAATGGAAAGCAAATATCCTTGATGCATACAACTCGATGTTAATAGCACATGTCCCCCTCCCCCATGAAACTCAGTTGACCTGTAAGTTTTCTAGTATACAGCCTTCACTAGGTGGTGTGTCTTAGGAGCATCTCTTTCGATGGGAGATACTGCTATAAAAACAAACTGTCGATGGAGTTGGACACAGCCTCCAAGTCAAGAAATACAAACGTTGTCATTCTGCAGTACGATAAGTTTGTGTCCCAGGAAATCAGCCTAGTTTGTTGTCCTCTAGTTGCAATTGAGGTTTCAAAGAACTATAAATCCTGGTAATTCGAAAATACATTGGTTGAGTCAGTTTTCACGCAGTCATCAGAAAAGGACCTTCCTTCTTTCCTTCCTTCGAATTTATACATTCAGTGATTCAAACTAGTTATTGATGAACATGGAAAGAATTGGAAATATCTGTCTTTTTGTCAGAACAGTTTAATAGGGAAACCAGTGAATATTGTAATGTTGTATTCGAAAATTTCATCCTCCTTTGACTTAGAAATCTGAATATCAGTCACCAAGCTTAGCGAAGTAGTACTGTGATGCACTAAATTGTATAATATGAAATTGACAAGCATTGGTCGTAAATACAAAATTTCTTCATGACAGGATATGCTGGAAAATTGACAGACAGATGATATTCCGCTGTATCTGAATTCAAACCACCTCCCAGAATAAATTAAATCTTATAAAAACACATACAGCATAAATATTAACGCACACTACTTACCATTTGTAATATAAATATTAAAGAAGCTATCCATCGGACAGGCTTTCCAAATCTCATCTGAAGATACTATTTGACATGGAATGGAAGAAAAACAGTTTGCCTTAGTGTTATCTTTTGCTGACATTATGATTCACTGATGAGCAATTAGTAAAAACAAAAGCTGACAACTATTGCCTCCTGTTGACTAACTTCCAGTATTTATTAACATAATGTAATCTGTTACAATACTACGCAGCACACTACAGACTTGGGACAAGGTTTTAATGAGCAGTGTACAAACACTGATTCTTGCGAAGTTAAAATAAGATGGAAAGGTTGATCTAGTATTTGTTTATTGAAAACCAGGCAGTGAAGACGCCATAGTTACGCTTTTTTTGGATCGGACAAATGAATATAAAGCAGATATTGTATCAGCAAACAAAGTAAGTAGGAATAACTGTCAACTTTTAGTCTCTATGGTTTCTAAAACTTTACTATTCCAAAAGCAAACTTCACTAATTAGACTGTCGTATTTACATTAGTAAATTATATAAGAATCTGTGAACAAAAATGTTCTTAAACAAGATGCGCAAGGCTATGTGATAACTGAATCGATGCAGTCTATATCACACTCACCATCCAGGAACTGTCAGTAGCAAATAAATGCCTAAATTTAAGATAAGTAGTTGGATATTTTTATGCTGATATACTAAAAAGATATAAATAACCACTTATTATATGCAGACGAGTGGAGATAGAATTTTTCCTCCGTTTAGAAACTCTCCAAAATCATGTAAAGTTAGTCAGCTTGCTGATTTTAAAACATAAGTTTAGAATGTCTTTTCTCAATGACATAAACAAACCAGATTTTTTACATTATAGTGAAAAATCGCCAAAATACAACAACAATCAACCAACAGAGTCTATTTTGAAATGAACCATTTTCTCTCTAATACCTTTCTGTAGTCAACATATGACTTAATTTTAGATTGTTATCAGTGCCATGGACAACCTGCAAATAGCATTATAACATGGTAAAAATCAAATCGATCAACTTACTTCATGAGCACTGTTTAATCTTAGCTTATAAAACACCGGCATGTAGACATATGCTGCCACTGGAAAGGCTATTAAATAACCCCCAACTAATAATATAAACTGTACACCAAATTTATATGCTTCAGATGCGGTACCTAGAATACCGACTGCAGACAAAAAGCTGGCCATCACGCTGGCGACAATAGGCAGTAGTGTTAATTTACGATCACCTAGAAACAGCTCCTCCACGTCCATTTTCTTTTTCTTCGATTTATAATTAGCACCACGGAAACAACAAGAAATTTTCCCCCAAATCACTTCATTGTATCGATGATATATCCCGATAAGCGAATAGCAGACGAGTGAAATAGCAAAGATTAGATAATCTGACCAGTGGAATGCTGGAATCGTCATGTGACCCAGTAAAATAGTGGAATTCCTTCAAAACAAATAAAAACGAATGAAAAATGTACATATTTTACTAGCAAAATAAAATTTGAAAAACAAAAAGCATTCACTGTTTAAGACATAACAAACTATTTGATTCACTTTGGTATTTTTCGGAGCTCTTAGACAGTGAGATAATAAAATTATTGTGAATTAAAAAAAGATTACGTTGTACAGTTACACAATGCTCCTACAGATATGAAATGCTTTGCAGAAATACGGATACCGTAATACTGCAGTCGTCGGAGAATAGGACAATGAAATCACAGTGAAAATGTATTTAAGAATTGGATTTTTAAATTTCAATAAACCAAATGAAGGAAAGTCAAGAAACATTTTACACACCGCATCTGTAAACTTGGGGTTTACACGTCTCAAAATAATTAGGTAGGCGTATCTGCATGCAAGTGTGTCGGTGCCAACCACGCAGGTGGTTCGGGGTTCGAATATCGGCCGACGCACGCCTTCACCTCGCTAAGCCAGTAATAAGACTGGTAAACAGGGAAGGTTGGGCATGAGGCTGGCAACCTGGTCACATAAAAATAGTAAGACACCACTAGTACCGAAACTTCAAAGCTCCAATGTGAAACCGTATGTTCCACTGGGAACGTTACGGAATAAAATAAGTAAATATTAATAAATCTGCATGCCGTTTAATACTTAAGTGAGAAACTAACTGAACTAAGTGCTTTTTGTTGCGAGGCTCGGTATTTTTCAAAATCTCAGTTATGATAATACGAGTATTTACCGACCTTATATTTAACATGTGTACACTGGATTTTTGTTTCAACCTGGATTATCCACTTTTAAGAGTTCGAGTGTCAGAAGGTGACAACTACTTTTTCCTGTTCTGCATTAGTATCTGAATTTATGTGGATGCCAGTCGATTGAAAGTGATTAAGTACTCACCTGTTTATCAGCCTATATCAGTTTGAATACACTGATTAGACAACTTCCTGTAAATAATATGTGTTTTATTTGTCAAATATAGGATAAAAACTTGAACTGTTTGAAGAAATCTGTTACTGATAATATATTTAATGAAATAAGCAAAGACTTATGCCTATGCATTTTCAAATACGAACAGTGTATCCGCACATTTTCATGTTATAAGCTTCAGTCATTTAAAAATAACTCGAAAGAGGAAAAGAAGAGTAATCATTTGAGTGGAGTATAAAGAATCCAACTGACGAATTGACCTAGAACTTTCCACTAAAGTGACACACTTTAAGTAGCCTCACTTCAATTAAGTAAACAGTAGGGAAAAAAAACAAATTTGGTAATACTACCACAGATGCTTTCAATAAATGGCATCAAAAATTATAAATAGCAGTGCCTGTTGAACAAGCTGTATTTCAGTTAGAAAGTTTCATTATTCTTTAAAATAGACAGAGATATATAAAATGTAATGGTAGTGGTAAATTCAAGTTTAAATCAGAATAAAAATACCTGTCATATTGCTAGACCTTGTTTATTGCTTTTGAACTCTAATTCGCTGACAGTTTAATCTGTCTTATTAGCTTACTGACACATTTGGTTCCTACAACTTTAAGGAAGTACATCAAGTTATTACTAATGCATATAGTGATATATTACACCTTTTCAAAAACTAAAAAGAGTTACAACAGAATAAATTAGGGCTTAAAACAGCATTTTGTATAGATTAACCATTATGTCGAAAACCTGATAAACAGAGTCTGCAAAATGCAGCTCTTTGGACTAAGTGTAAAGGATGTTTATGTCATCAAGAGAGATTACAATTTCATTTTGAACTCTTAAGCAAGATGTCAGACATTTGATAAACAAATACGCAAAAAACTGTTGACAGCCTAAAATAGATGGTTTGTTTGCTGTATTAACCAGAGATCTAGAAATGTCTACTGAATACCCGTTCTCTTAAGCACCAATATGCTTTAAATTAATTCAGAAAACCACCTAAGCACTTTATATCTGTTTTGTCAAAGTACTAAACAGTAATTCATACTTAATTGAATTTTAGAGTTTCCCGTCGATTGATTGGACCGAAGTGCTCGGTCTCAGGTTGACATGTCGGCTTCTTCTACAGATGCTTCGACGATGTCTGGGCATTTTTAATTGGTATTCAATTGGTGGATGGTGACTAGCAGTGGAATCCAGGATGCGCGCTTCGTCCTATCTTGGACTCGTCAGGTGGATGTGCCAGCCGACATGTCAACCTGAGACCGAACACTTCGGTCCAATCAATCGACGGGAAAGTGCGAAATTGAATTAAATAATTAATATGACTCTCTCCACAAGAGTTGGCCAGCTCTCGTGGCCCGAGTGGTCTAGTGGATAACGCTTTTGCGTTTGAAACTATGGGCACTGGGTTCGAGGCTCGGTGGGAACATCATCACTCACTGAGAAGTGCGTGATCTATTGGTTTGTATACGAATAATTATACGTCCTTCGTTTCATTTTAAATAGAATGCAGGTACGTCCAGCTGACAAGTCCCGAACAGGATGAAACGCGCATCCTGGATTCCACTGCTAGTCACCATTCACCAATTAAAGTAATTCATGTATATGGACAAAATTAGCACTTGTAGGTTACCTGCTAGCTCTTAACCAAATTATTGAATACTTTATTTTATACAACAGCTTCAAGATGTATCTGATTATTGTTGTCTTTGATCAACTGTGGATTGTCATTACAGCGTTGTTACCATTCCAGTTAGAGTAAATGAGTACTAGGTTTCTAAGTGACTAAAGTTTTAGTTTTACACGTATCCTTCATAAACCTAATGATGGTCAGCTTGAACCTAACGAAAATATGTAGATATTTTCTTCAGCTTTAGAAAACATGCAGATTTAACAAGACTTCTGTCTTCCAAGTAACCTGTAAGCATCATGATTGATACAACGGGATTAAGCATAACCAAATGAAAATTATTATAAATTCAACAGAGAATGTGAATTATACCAAACACTTTATAACGAACATCAGTCTCATGCTAATTATTAAATGACGGCATGGAGTTCAAACAGGTGTATCCCTACGAATTGCCTCCTTTTCAAAAGAAACATAAAATTAAGCGCAAGTAACAAAATGCTGCTGCAACGAAAATTTGGAATTGAATCACAGAATAATGAAATCAACAAAAAATATGGATTTTCAAGGTAATTAGAAGTAATATCAACAGGAATCTGTAACCCCTAGTTCTTAACATCTTGAGGGATCCAGTCAGAGAGTCTAAACCTCTCTATATGTCTCAGGCCACCTGTTTAGAGCTTCGATGACTGGTGTACCATGTGTAGCTCTTTACCTACCTAGTCTCACCTCTACTAAAGAAATCCTCTCATTTTCACTAAATTTCGGCTGCATGTTATTAATCGCATCAGTACTAGTTTCCTTCAGTTTTACAGTCATAATAAGCTACTTGTTAGAATACTGTGTTTGAATGTGTTTGAATTGAAATAGAATTTTAAGATTATTTATTATCTTCCTCTGATGTGACTATAAAATCACTCGTCCTTTTTCCCATCTATCTGCAATTGATCAGCAACACTCGTACTATTATTTCTGAATGTACATTATCTCACATTGATTTTTAATCCAATGTCTAATCGATTTCACACATGTATATAAATGAAAGAACAAAGTTGTGTGAGTAACTTGATATGATTATGAGCAATAGTTTGTGCTCGAAACGTCATCAGTTAATATAACTGTACAACACTGTGTGATTTATCAAAATAAAATCTTATCCATAATGGAGTTATACTCTACCACAGTGCCCAAGTTTTGTACCTCCTGCATACTTTTGCACCGGGCTTACTTCTCCTTCTTAAGGACCCTATATAGTTCAGTGTTTTCGTTTTTATGTCAAACTAAGCATATTCTCACAAAACTTATCTTTTAGTGAGTCTAAACTGCGGTTTATGAGTCAAAAAGGCAGGTCATAAGAAGGGACATTGATGCACACTAAACGGATAGTCGGCAGAAAAAGGTCTATCTATTTCAAACCAGGAGGTGAGATTTTTTCTCCAGACTCCAATACCACCTCTATACCGGCAGATCTACAATAAATAACCGAGGAATTCCTGACACCTTTCATACTGATAAGTAGGAAAAATTGGACGGTCTCGCCCGCTAAACAATCACATGTTCGTCGCCTTATGGATAGTCGTCAATATATCTTCTCACCCCTAGTTATAGATTTAGTAACTGCAATTTGGACCCAGTGAGTACTAGTAATGGTCACTGAAATGCCTTATAGAAATTTCACCAGAAATGACATTAGCCTGCATAAGAGAAGATTAAGAAACTTAGTGGATAAGGTCTGGGGAATAAGTAATGTAGAGAGGATTTGTAGTGAACATAAGAACTGTATTCTCTAATTTGAGCCGTCAGACGATGCTAGTCAAGCGGAAATCTACTAAAAAGGCGCACAAGAGATCAAAATGGTATGAAGATGGCTCATTTAGTCACTCAGTGCCTACAATTCACACTACGTTAAAGACTTCAATGCTGTAAAACTAAAACGCGACCATACATGTGGACACCTTTTATTAGTTTATTAACAATTCATTGACTAGTTTGATAAATTTGCAAAATTATTTGCTAATCTGTACGTAAATATAAATTGCCACTCAAGGATGTTGACAGCCGTGTGCAGCTAAAAAATGATTGAAACCTTCAATTATTATCTGTGACTGCTAAAGTGAAAGAAACAAAGGTGCTACGACATAACACATCACGATTCTGGACAGCAGTATTTTGAGTTCAATCCATCTTAGGAACTCAGTGTTAACAAAGCCAATTTGTTTTAAGGTGATGAAATTTAGCATCACTGTGGTTTAAAAGTTTAAATACTGTGAATTCAAATCAAGAAGAAAACCATTCTGCCTACTTATAAAAATTTTCAGTCGGTGTTTGATTATTGAAAAATCACCTTAAGTAATTTAGGTTATTCTAAATACAATTGCGCAGACGATGGACACTGATACCCATATTATTAAATTTGCATCATTAACCTCAATCCTCATTTCTGATTCTCCCTTATCAGCCGTGAAATATGGTAAAGGTATCTTCGCCTGTATCACTCATTTGCGGCCACTGAATAACCGAAATTACTAAGAATGCCCCGTAAGATGTAAGAACTAAGTGGTATAATGCATTGTGACATGTGCAGTAGTTTCCAGCATTACTAAGACATCAAGCAAACGGATCCTAACAACAGTTTTTTAAATCCGACAAATCTTGATATTCTGTAGCTTAAATGTCTGACGTGGAAGGAGAATGTTTACACATACTGAAATACCACCAAACCCTACGAGAAATATTCGTTGACATGGGGTTCTTTCCAAAAATAGCTGAAGTATTCAGACTTAGGTGTGGTAATCACACATTAAGTGCATAATTGTTAGTTTGAGGCTTATACTACCCCGTTTCGATGATAAAAGTAGGTGCACTGAGACTGTTGATTACGTAGCTCAAAACCGCTCTCACTGGCGTAGATATACTGACTCCTTCTTATCTTCTTAATTATTAAAATCTTTGGTTTTTCTGCACAATTACCTTTTTCGTATACATTTTATTTTACTGTAGTTCCACTGCAATTATTTCTATATATTTGTGTGTACCTCTACTCGAAACTTTGCTTCTTGTGTATAGAAATTAGAATTAGTGAAAAATGCTACCAAAGTCAACATTTTGCTCTTCGAATTTACAGTATGCATAATATTATCAGCAACAGTATTTGATGACATGCAGCACTTTTAAGATTTCCAATTATAATGTACTTCATGGACAGACACTTATCAAGAAATGAACTAAACGCTTGAGAGTCAATACCAGTGGAAGGGTTTTTCAGGAATAATGTTGATCAACACTGTAAGGATAATTACATGATAAAGTGGATTGGAAAATCTGCAGCTAACTTTTCTTAATACTTTTATTCGGTAAATAAAATAAAAATTAGGTGCAGCTCAATAAATGCATGGCAAGAATAATCAAAATATTCTGAGTGACAGAGCTACACCTCTTTGAGAAAACCAAATAATTCCTACATTTGAACTTTATACGCAGCAAGTGGACGTGGAATTTGTCATTAAGAAGTACATTATCTCCTTGCGAGATGATATTACCGTCAATATTCATTGATCACTTTTGCACAGACAGTAAAACACTTGAAAACACTCCGACATTTCCAGATAATGATAAACATGGAAAACATATGGCGACTGGAATGTACCGTTGAAAAAAACACAGACATTTCTCCGTAATTGTGACAGATCTTCATGCAAATATTAATGATGAGAAGAAAATAATTGACCTCTTCTTTCTAACCTTAACGAATTCTGCTATAGTTAAAGTGTTACTGTAGCTACAGAAATAAACCTCAAATCACGAACAAATGGAATTTAACCAGATATGAAAACATACATATTGTAGGAAAAACACGAGTAAAATGATAAAAAAGCAGCAAAACGTCACTATTCTGCTCCTATACATAGGATGAAACGTGGAAAACACGTGTGTCAGGAAGATGCTTCCCACACCCAGTAACCCACCATCATCCAAGTTTCCAACTGAATAACTGTGATTCCTCCCAGAATTTAGACACTTTGCAAACATATATCGAAACTTTCAGCGTCATCTGAAGAAATATTCCCAATTTAAACGCTTTTTGAACACAACCTACAATAATGTTTTCCCATTATACTGATATTTACAATGGAAATATCTGACTAAAACGAAGCTCTTGACAATAACTTTGATACATGTTACATGACTGCATTAACCAGGTATGTGGGACACAAACTTCCGCTTTTCTTACTTGAATTATACAGCCCTCTTATGTTAAAGTCAGGACTTCAATGTTTTTGGGCGACAACACAATAAGTAAATGAAAACAGCGCTCACACAAGGTCAGATGTTGTAGGACACTAAAACACATTCATTACAAATTGCGTCGAGACAGACGCTAGAAAATTCGTTCTCAGAGTTTTAAAGCGCTAAAAATAGAATTTTTCTTGATAAGTTTATATGGTGCACAAAGTAAGGTGAATAATTCTAAATGAGTTTGACACCATTAAAAATCTATCTGAGCATCTGGTTTGGCATCTCTAACAACCAAGATGTTTTGACACAGAAATGCCTGTTCAGTTCAATGTTTTATGGCACAGGTACGAATTCAAGCATACTCGCCATTTGTCAACTTGGCATGTTAATTTCTAATGTCCGTGCATGACTGCTAGAGAGCAAAACAGGTGCACTGAATGTTGATGAACATACGAGTGGAGTACCATAGAGTCGTCTCTTCCTTATCTTGTCATCTAAATTCACTATCGATTAAAGAAGACATCCAAAAATTAGAAAAAATTTTGTCTGCGTTGAGATTCTATGCTATATATTGTGCAAAGCTATCTGGATAATAGACTGACTATCATGTGCTGTGTTTAGGCGCTGCTTGACAATTTCTAGTCTACGACCTGCTGGCACATCCCATCTCAAACCCATTTCACAAATGCGATTTACTTGGAAACAATATTTGGGGAGAAACACCCTCGCCTCTAATACATCACTGATTATTTTGAATTGTGTATCATAGCATGAGATTAAAAAACGATGTCTTGCATAAATCAGCCTTATTACAATGTCATAGTTTCCTTTGCTCAGTTGTTCTGTTCCCGGACAGAGCTTCTAACTGCTAGTTCCTTCTGGCAGGCTGGCCAATCGATCTTCAGTACAGATAGAAAGCAGTTGTTGATAAACTTATGCAGTAACCTGTCGGAAATGCTTTTCCTGACACGCCGGCCAAGTTTCTAACCCGTACAGAAGAACCGACTGACTTAACATTGGTGTCGAAAATCCGAATCCTGTTACCTATGCTGACTGAGTGAAGCGAAAGATTTCGAAACTGGTTTCAGACTGACGAAGGTGAATCTGGCCTTGCCGATCCTGACTATGATATCTTCATCCGTTCCGCTTGAAGATGAAACGATAAGTGAAGGGTTAACCTCATTGAAATCTCTCCCGCTGATGGTGATTGGTGCTGGTTGTTGTTGGTTTGTTGGCTTTATCACTTCCATCTTCTCCATTTTTACTTGCGGTCCCGACTTCGCTCCTAGCCTCATGTGCCAGTTTGTTGGTTTTCGCCTGTAAGTCTTCGAGGTTGTATGATATTAGACACATATCATCTGCGAAGTCCACATCTTCTTCTGGAGTCTTCTCATCGGCGGTTAAGCGTATTCCTGTCTCCTCGCTCCCAACTCACGGTCTGACACATAATCCGGCCCACCACGATTAGGAATATCATCGGCGATAATAGGCAGTCAAAACTGTCTTACTTCTGTATGCACTTCGAACGCCTCACTGATTTTTCCGTTGTGGATAACTTGACACGTGGTATTGTCATATAGCCGGCTGTTGAATGAGTTTGATAAAGAATTGGACACTGCATGCCGTAGTGATAAAGCGGTTTCCAAATTACTTCTCGGTCAATGATATGCTGCCTTTTTCTCCTTCACGTTCCCCAGCGGAAAATAGGGCTTCAAGCTAATGGCATGAAGTTTCTTCAGCAGTGTTTAATTTTACAGGATGGGGTTGCTAGCCTCATGCCCAAACTTTCCTCTTTACCAGCATTATTTCTGACTTAGCGAGGTAAAGGAGTACGTCGTACAGGGATCTATCCCCGGAACATGTGCATGGTCGGCGAGCATCCTGACCGCTATATCACCGACGCAACTGTCCTCTCTGGTGAAGGCATTTTCGAAGTCGATGAAATTGAGGTAGGGAAAGGTCTGAAAGGCATCCTATGCGTTGTTACGTGGTGACGATGAGTAGAGTTGTAAATTGATCAGCCCATGAGTTCTGCATCCAGCGTATCTTTTATTCTCTCCAGGATGATGCGACTTGGTATTTTACCTGACGTAGAAAATAGCATTATTCCACGCCAGTTCTTACAGAGTGAGACTTAGGTTGGTCTTCTTTGCCAGTTTGACGAAATAGCCAGCCCTTCTCGCAATCGACAGGTAACTCTCCTCCTTTTCAAGGCTTTTACAGTAATGGCATGAGCATACGGACTGCAGTCTCTGAGTCCGTTTTCAGTGCTTCGGGAGAATTCCGTCCGGTCCTGCTGCCCCGCCGAAATTCAGTAACTTGATCGCATTTAGGATTTCTGCTTTCGTTTGAGGATTGGTGTCCACTGGTTGGTGGTTCTGTGTGTGGTGTTGGTGGTGGTAGTATGTCTGGGCGAGTTGCAGGTGACGGTCGACTCAAGAGTCGTTTGAAGTGATCAGCCCATTGTTTTAATTATTTCTCCTCCCTAGTAATCAGGTTCCAATGAATATCTTTTATTGGTTTCATTGTCCGGCCTGATCTCTTTCCGGATAGAAACCTGACATATTGTCTCTTCTGCCCACGACCTGCTTCGCTTCAGTTTCCAGTGTGTCGTAGAATTCTCTTTCGTCTCTCCCAGCGCGCTTCTTCGCGTCTTTCCTGATTAAGTGCAATGTTCAGTGAACTCAGCTTCTCCTTCTGTCGCCCATCTATGCATTGAGTCATCTTCTCTTTCATCATCCGCCTCTTTTCGATTAGCTTCCAAGTAGGTGTCCGTTGAGAGAGATTCTTAGTCATGTCTCTTCTTTCTTCCTAGAACAGTTGTCCATGCTGCCTTGAACATCGCTTTCAGAGAGTTCCAGTGTTCTTCCTCGTAGGATCCCACAGAGATACCACATAGTGTCTTCGAATTCGCCCTGATAGTTGCAACGACGGCGTCTTCTGTAGTTTCGTCTTTCAGCTTCTGAATGTTGAACTTGAACTGTGATCTGTCTCAAGTTTTTTTGAAGTATTTCGGTTTCAACTCGAAGGTCTGAGCCCACATCTTCTCCCCTTCTCGATTTTGTATCCAGCAGGCTGCGTCTCTACTTCATTGAGCAGCATTGAAATGAAATCTAACTGGTTCGTCGTTTGTCCGTCAGGCGAAATCCATTTTACTTTGTGCATATCTTCGTGATCGTACACGCTTCTCTCATCGCTTGATCATTGGAAGCGAGGAAGTCTGATAATAATTCTCTATATTTTTCTGTTACAGCTACAGACATATACTGAAACATTCAGAACTTAACGGATAAAGATTATTTATTGTGATCGAGCAAGTCATATCTGTAATATTGTGCAAATTTCATACTCTAAGATATACTCAGATATATATCTAACACAGATAAACTAATAATAACAAGTTGATCGTAGGAAATGTTCACTTCAGCCTCAACGTTCTCAAACACATATGAGTGCTTGTCCAGTTATGATTACTGCGTAAACACACGTTATATAATGGAAGCACGTCTAATGGTGAATGCAACTGACCAACTGCCTTCAACAGAAAACGGCTGATGTATATGCCAGTGACATATGAAACTCTGACATCCAGTATCCAATGTAGTTTTACAATCTGGAGTAAACCAATTTGATTTCTTTGTGCTCATTTCCTGATTGTGAGTTAAAGGTTTCTGCTTTTCAGTAAAATCGTGCACCTTTCGTTCTGCCACTCGACTGTCGTAGCTATCGTTGACCCCTAAAGGAGCAGTGCTGGGATTAATTATATTTCGTTTGTTGTATGCGGTGTGTTAGGACTGTTACTGGTGTGAATGAAGTTGATCCTTTTGAATATTGATAGTAACACCATGTTGGCGTAACCTTTCAATCGCCAAGTCCAAGTGTCTAAGGTGAGTTCCCTTCTCTGGACTGGCAATGAGGCAGTCATCTCAGTATGTGTATACAAAGTCGAGACCGTGAAATATTTCAACGATGAAGCGTTGGGATGTTTGGGCTGCATTCCGGAGACCGAATGGCATACATGGAAACTCAAAAAGCCTCCTATAGCTGCTTCTAGTTCTATCAGATGAAATGCAAGGAGATAGCTGCGTATAGAGAGGATGCTCGGGGTCTGACAACATTGTATTCGCTAGTTTCTTACATGACATTATATGTCTATCCACAATAGTGTCAACCAGTTGGTTTAACGATATCCCACTTGCCCTACTAACGGCTTTTAGTGCCCTTCTCAGCAAAGCAAAGTCTTTCTTAAGTAGTCCAGGAAAGATTAATGGGGGCAGTAAAGGGGATGGGTAGAATACAAGAATTAACGAACTGAGAGAGCAAAGACTGCTTTATACCAGACTGCTTAAATTTCCTTACGTAGAACGTTAAGCGAAACATCTTTCTAGTAACTAGCAAGATGTGGGAAGACCAGGAAAGATCGGTGGAAAAACTCAACCCAAGGTACTTGACATTAGATGTATTTTCAACCTCTGTGCCATCAATGATAATGAGGCCATGTGAGCTAACTAGTTGTTGTAGGTCACATTTACGTCTGACACTGAAATTGACTACCTGACATTTAGACGGATTTAGCTTAAGACCGTTTGAAGAGGACCACTGACTAATTTCTGACAGAAGTTATTTAATTTGGAACAATCCGACTGGGAGTTGACAGACATAGAAACAGAGAGGTCATCAGCATACTTAACAAAAGTGGCTACACCAGAATGAGGCAAGTCATGTAAGAAAAAAGAAAACAGGAAAGGAGAAAGAACAGCACCTTGGGGAACACCAGCTAAAGTAAGTGAGGTGGTGGAGGACTTTCCATTGTAGACGGTGTACTGCTTCATATCAGAAAAATAGGAATGCAATCACTTATTTGTTCAGCTCTCAGCCTGTGTTGCAGCAAGCTTACTTAGCAAGAGAGACCTGGGAACAGAGTCAAATGCAGATGTGTAATCAAGAAGGCACACCGAACGTATTTAGCTCCTTTATCTAAACTAGAGACTATATTATGATGTAGGACTACAGCGGCATCTAACGTACACCTACTATGTTTGTAAGCAAACTGGTTTGGGTCGTTGAAAGTTTTTAAAGAGGGTTCATAACTTTCAAAAAAGGTGAGGTAATTGCAATGGGTCTAAACTTAACAATAGGTCCACTTGTTGATTTAGGCACTGGAACGATCTTGATATTTTTCCATGATTCAGGTATAATACTTTCGGAAAAGGATTCGTTGAAAATGTCAGTGAATGGGGAACACAAGATGTCGGCACACTTCTTAAGGATAACAGCAGGAACACCATCAGGACCAAGGGACTGAGTAGGTTTGAGAGATTGAAGACACTTGAAGACATCATTCGTATTAAGGCATGAGAAGCAGTCATTATTTACACTATCTGAGTAAGGAGTCATGACATCTGCAGGGATACATATAAAGGATTTATTAAGCATGCCAACATCTACAGAAATATCATTCATTATTTGCTTACCACCTGTGATTTCCTTTAATAACTTCCGCATATTAGATGGGGATTTACATGAAAGAAACTTCTGGTTATAGAGAACATTCAATCTTTGTAATTCAAGTTTAATCAAAGCGTTCATTCTCTTAACACCAGATTTGTTTTTCATTTTGAACGACCTCTCTTTTTCACGGCGGAGCTTTTTGAGTTGAAAAGCGGTCGAATTTTAAG